GGAAGCGCCCGAGGGGATGGAGCTGAGGAGGGAGGTGGCCCAGTCGTCGTAGTCTTCGGCGGCAAAGTCCGGCAGCAGCGGGCTTTTGGCGGGAAGTGGAGAGAAGTGCTGGGGAGCCTGAGGCTTTGGCGGCGAGCCGAGATCCCAGCCCTTTTCAAGCACGCTACTGTAGGAGCTGCTAGCGCTGGACTGGACACTGTCGCGACGTGGGCGGGATCGCAAGGGCGAGGCGGAGGCAGCGGCGGCGAGCGCTTCACTGAGCTGGTGGTCTGCTGCAAGCTTCTGAGAGAGGATGCGACGGGTCTCGTCGGCATCTGCGCCGCTCTGGACGGCCTGTTGGACGAGGTATTCGGTCCTCTCCTCGACGAGCCGGGCTGCGGTGTGCGGATCTTGGCGGATCTGGTGCTCGTCCATGCCTTCGGAGAGGAGAATCTGCGCCCACGAAGAGGGCAGACCGGTGTAGCCGTGCGGGCCGACGTCGACGTGAACGTTGTGGGAGACGTCGTAGGGCAGACCGATGGCCGGGTCGGCGCTATCGTAGAAGGAGTTGGCATGGGGTGAGGGTGAGGCGTAGCTCGAAGCGTAGCTCGAGCCTGCGGGCGATTGGGCGACGTCTTGTGGATCGGCGTTGGAAGACGGGGTGCGGAGAGCAGCGTAGCTTGCATCCCTCTCCTGAGCGAGCTGCGAGGTGTTTGGACGACGCAACCGCGCAGCCGATGCCTTCTTGCCCAGCTTTTTGAGACCGAGGCCAGCCGAGACGGCGGCCGAGGTGGATGCTGAAGCGAAGCGTAGCGCAGCCGACTGCTTTGCGTTGTCTGGCTTGGTTGCTGGTGCTGGGTTGGTGTTCAATGCTGGAATGGTGGCAGCGAATGCAGAGATGGATTCGTACTGCGAAAGATGACGGGAGCGCACTTCATCTTGGCCTCTCTGCAAGTTACGTAGGGCGAGCTGGTTGGCGTCGATGTCCGAGAGTGCGTCGGGCGGTAGATCTGGTAGCTCGCGATCGTAGTTGATCGCTGGCGACACAGCTGTGCTTGACTGCGGTGAGATCGAGGCGTCTGACCATGCCGGGCCTGCATGTCGCCTCTCTTCGGGGGAGAGATAGGTGTGCTTGGATGAGGAGGGCGATGGCGCGTTGAAGTAGTCCTGCCGCGGGGAAGGGGACGGTTGCAAGGACGAGGAGGGTGATGCTGGGGTGTTGCTGGGTCTGCGATATCGACCGATGCGATTGGCGATCGAGGCAGCGGTTGTTGATTCGTCTCTGCTCCTGGAGAGTTCGCGCAACATGGCAGACGATCAGCCGAGTGTTGGCGGTGTGGCGACAGCTTCAGACGGTATGTGAACGGAAGATGAAGGTATGCATGATACGGCTGTGCTTCAGCAAGTATGTTATGGGGTGTCGCAATGGTGCTGGGGTAGACGGTGTGGCGATACGCGAGGCAAAGGAGCGGCAGCAGAGGGTTTGGCGCGCCGCCGTGATGCTTTCGAGTGAGGTCGGCGACGAGCAGGGCTGATGGATGGGAAGAAGGATTGTCGCCCACCAGTCGAGGACGTCGCCGGAGTATCAGTTGGGGATGCGGGGTGTGAGTGAACGACAACAAGAGGTCGATGGTGGGAGTTGAAGCACGACGGAGTTCGACGCAGCGTAGATCTGCAGGCGGGTCGGTCGCGTGTGTGTGAGAGTGTGCGTGTTGGGCTGCTGGCGGTGGGCGCACCAAAAAAAGCGGCCGCCTCCTACCGGCTCTCGAAAATCAACGGCGGCCGAGCGGAGATGGAAGAAAGATGCGCTTGCCGCCTTGTACGAGCCCGCGGCGATTCCCCCGCTCTTTGCCTCTCGACCTGCAGCTTCACTTGGGCTTGAGAAGGCACAGCGCAGACTGCCACAGCGGCGGCAGAAAAGTAGCGTTTGGCTCGCTGTCCTGCACTGCGTCGATCCGGCAGCAGTTGAGTTCAGCTGCCAATGAACGGCTGCTAAGAGTTAGTGCAGCTCTGCACAAAAAGCGTGCAGCTGCGTGCGTCGAGAAGAAGCGGTTTGGGCCCGGAGCAGGATCGCTGTGTTGGTCTCGGATCCCCTCGTGCGCGGTGCTGTGCCCATGTGCCCGTGTGTCTGCCTGTCCTTCTGTCTCGGAACGCAGCCCGACCAAAACCTTGTCTTTTTTTCCCTTTTCCACCGGAGGGCGACAGGATCTCGAGATTTGGCGCAGAGCGGGACAGCAGCCGACATGTGCCCGAAAAAAAAAACGCCCGAGAAAAGTCGAAAAAGAAGCTCGGAGGTCTCGCGTGTGCGACCTCATTTAGGCAGGTCGGGGCGGCGCCAATCTGCCCGCCATGGCATTGTTTGGCGGGCGCCTTCGTGTGCCTTCTCCTATCCAGGCGGCTCAAGCTTTCCAAGGCGCTAGAGCGCAAAGACCCGAGCGGAGCTTGCTTGGATCCTGCCGCGGAATACATCGAGGGCGGTCAGATCCGAATCGGAATCTTGGATGCGCCATGCCATGCACTCGACCCGATTGACAGCGGCGGCCGATCCCGGATCTCGATGCGCCGCCGATTTGGCATCTCGTTGCGCCGCTCGCTTGTGCGTCCTGTCAGTTTAGCGAAGCCCGCTTCAGACGGGGCTCCTTGCATCTGTCTGCTTCGCTAGCGGCGATCGTATTCCACACTGGCACCTCGCACCAGCATCCCCGTCGATATCGCTTCATGAAAAGCTTGTCTCATGGCTCGCTTCCAACGGTCGACCTCTGCATCTGCACTCGGCCTCCTGAGCTGTGAACTTCAGCCAAGTTAAGCGGCGTGGTTACTGCCACAGCTGGCGCTTCCCATCCCACTGCGGGACCCCTCGCAGGGCACGCCTCGCTCGCCTAACGCACGCTTCGGATCAGAACCTCTGCTAACACCACACCGGCGTCCACTCCCTCGGGTCAGGCGCAGCCCTTGGCCCCCCTTCGAAGGTGTCCAAACACGTCCTTGCCTCAAGATGCGCGGGGGTCGAGGGTGGCGTGGTGTAGCGTACAAGCGACCCCTGTTGCATGTCCATGTGCCCTCCGCCACCGTCTGATGTCGCCACCGGTTTCGCCAACGATCGAGTGGGCCGACGTCACTTGAGCTGGGCTTTGTTTGTGTTTGAGATGACAACGTGCCTGGTTGCAACGCCACCATCTTTCCCTCCTTCCATATCGTCCATCTTGATCCCAAACCACCCCCCCCCGCCCTTTCCTAACTGATCGACTGCTGGATGCATAGCAATGCCGGCTCTCGAACGTCTTTACCTGCCCCCGTCGCTCTCGGCGGTAGCATCCAAGGGCCGTCGACTCTTCTCGCGAGACTCGGCCTCGGATGGTGTACAAGACAAGCCATCGGCGCTCAACCTCAATGAGGCGCTCGAGCAGGGCTGGTCCGCAGCCGCCTCGCCCCACTGTCTCAGCAACCAGCTCCGATCCCCACCACTCTCGTCAGCCACCCACGCCAGCAGGGGAGGCAAGGACTTTGGTCGTCGTCGATCGTCCAACGCCACCACCACCTCCACCTCGAGCGATGGCCTGGCAAACGACGGGGTCCAGCGACGTCGCAAGTCGCTCTTCTCCAAAAAGGCGCGATCCGAACTTCCCTTGGAACGAGAACTCGACGAGCGCGCAGCATGGGGTGCCGAACGCTTCATCGACCCTTTCGCTCAGCGCGGATTTCAGCAAGATCAAGACTCCCTCGATCTGTCCTGCGGTAACGGCAGGATAGCTGAGCGGTCCAGCCAGCGATTCTCGACGCAGCGACAAGAACAGCAGAAGAGAGCAGCGCTGGAGCGCGTTTCGGACCTCGTATGTCTGGCCGTCGAGAATCAGATGGCCATGTCAAACCAACCAACCGCACCTTCGTCGCCAGAGTTTCAGTCGCCCTCATCCACGCTCTTCGACACTCTTTCCTATCAGGATGCCAGCACCTCGTGGCCAACGATTGCCGACACTCCTGCAGAGGCCAGCGCGACTGGCGGGACGTTGCCGATGCAATCAAGTGCACAGAGAATGGCGCGTATAACCTCGAGCGAAGGTCTCGATGTGGCGGATGCGGCGTCGTGCAGCATGTCGCCTTCGCTGTCCGTCATGTCGACGGCCGATTCCTACGCAACAGGCCCTTCGCTCGCCACGTGGGACACCCTGGCCGAGCCCATGCTCGCTCAGGTCGGCGGTCTAACGGTACCCTGGAGCGCAGAGGATTCGATGTTCCATCATCAGATCCTCTTGCCCAGCTCGATGAAGCGCATGCCGAGCGCCACGGCGAGGATCGACGCGGGCCAGCGATCCTATGCGTCGCTCAAGGCGCAGACCGGTCACGGCTTCAAATCCAAGCCGTATCCACGCGAGCCGTGCAAGTCGCGCGCATACTCGCCACCACCTCCCGAGTGGACGGGACTCACCGACGGCTGTGCGTCGCTTCCTCTTCCGCCGCCACTCCGTCCGTCGCGCAATCCGCTGCGCAAGCGTTCCACGAGCCTCAGTGCGACCGAAGCGCGCAGGCAAGCCAAGGACGCGCACGATCGTGCTGCGTCGCCTCCTCCCCCGCTGCCCTCGCCTCCGCCGCAAGTGGAACGCGCTGATGAGGTGGCGATGCAGAGCCAGTGCGCGTTCGCATTCATGCAGACGCCTCCTCGATCCAGACGATCCTCCGAGCACCGTCCGAGATTCACGAGATGCGACAGCTTGACATCCGCCGCATCGTCGGGCTCGCTCAATGCGGCGCCATTCCATACGCCCACTTTCGGATCCCAGAGCTGGTCCTCGCTGCCTGTGGCTTGACCCCACGACGGCAAGACCGTCGGCCTCCTCCAGTGTAGATCATGTAATCCCACTCGTTCGATCGTCCTACAATGCTCGTGTGCGTGAGTGCGGTCCATGGTCAAGGGGGTTGCTCAGGTCGTGTGGTGGTGACGATGGTGCAAAGAATCGATGGTGATGCTGATTGGATGTTGCCGGTACAAATACAAACAAGTCAAGAGCTAGACGGATGGAAGGTCATGCTTCGCGCAAGACCTTCTTGAGCACGTCTCGCTGTGGCTTGGAGACCTGTGAATTGCGGCGGAACGGGGTGCAAAGATCAGCTTCTGGCAGAAATGAACGATTTGGCTTTGCGGAGAATACAACCTACCTTCCAATATAGCTCCTTGTTGCTGATGTGTTCGGAGAAGCGCACGTTGCTGCCGAGTTCCTGGCGCGCGACGAGCTTCGACTCGAGCTCGGCCGCTACATTGGCCATGGTTGGCTTGGTGCGAGCTGCCTGTGAGCTTGCCGACGCGGCTTTGGTGCGAGACGCGGCAGGCGGCAGGCGAAGCGACAGAACTGCCGACGCGGGCACCGGCTTGAGTTTGAGAAGTCGAGCTGCTGTGCTCCTCATGGTGACGGCGAGGTGTGGTGATCGTAGTGAGAAGCCGAGCAGCAAAGAGTGCAAAATGGCTGGTTGAGAGCGGTGGACCCGCAGCGGAGGTGCAACGAGAAAATCTGGAAGGATGCCTTTTTCGGCCGAGACGCCAAACCTTCTTCTCCTCCACTCCACATGGCTCTGGTTTGGCGGTGTGTTGCTCTGCGCACTGACCGGCTCACCAACACTTTTTGCATCTCTTCATCTTCTCCTTCACCTTGCGACACCAGTGCCACTTCGTCTGTCGCATCACCACCTATATCGCAGTCTGGCAAGCTGCGCAGAGGCACGATGACCGACCGAGCCTCGTTGATACAGCAGGTCTCGGCCATCACGGGCTGCAACGAGTTCCAAGCTGGCTTAGTCCTGGAACGATCCAACTGGGATACAGAGAGGGCCGTCAACTCGTTCTTCGACGATCCACCACCAGAGGTCAGTATCCGTGCTGCAAACCATTCCAGATCGACGTTCCCCATCGCTGACTTTGACTCCTTCTGAACAGAGACCAACCACACAGAGCTCTTCCACTGCTGTGGTACCGTTTCAGGGCGACAATGCGGGACAGACCGGCGAATCAGGATGGACGCCTTCAACAACCCCGGCTTACGGTCCGCCTCCGGGTCCCCCGCCATCGTCGAGTCAGGGTTGGCGCCAAGATGACCAGGGCATCGTATCGCCTCTGCCCGTACGACCGCGCAACAGCCCTTCCAATCCCGGTCTCAGCGACGTCATCGATCTCACCCAAGATGCAGATACCGACGAAGACCTCAGGCGCGCCATGGCCGCCTCCCTGCAAGACCAACAAACCTACCGTCCACCAGCGCCTTCAAGCACAGTTGGTGTAAGTGCACACAAATCATCACCGAAGCGTCGCCGGTCGCGAGCCAGCGGAGACGACCCGGATTGGAGCCAGGATGACGGTGTCGTCAGGAGCAGTCGGGTAAAGGAATCACCGATGGAGGAGATCGACGACAGCGGGACAGGTGATGTCGCGCCAGACAGCCAGCAGAGCAGTCGGCGCAATGGGCATACATACGGTCTGCGCGATCGGAGCAAACTTTCGAAACCTGCTCCCATCGCTCCAATTTCGGACGCCGTGCTTCCGTCTTCCAGACGACCGAGGACGTACGGCCGACGAGCCACTCGCGGCTCTGGTGAGCGAGCGGCGCGGGGACGGAAAGGTCGAGGCAGGCGAAGTTGGTCCATGGTGCGCGTTGAAGCTCTGACCGTCTGCCCTCTGCAACTCAAAGATACTTGTGGCTGACTTTGCAATTCCTTTTGTTCTTCCTATAACGGCCGCAGGACATTGGCATGTCGGAAGACGAGCAATTACGACAGGCACTCGAGGCAAGTGTGCAAAGCCACCAGGATCTGCTGCAGACCAGTGGCTCTGGCGCCAGATCGCCGGCGCTGCCACAGCACCTCGAGACCGACCTGCACACTCGACGGGTGGCAGGAGCGCCCATCGCCATGGTGGCTCCCTTTGCCTCGCTCGAGGTGGTTGCCGCGCTGCTCCAGGCTCTCTTTGCTGCGCCACCCGTACGTCGAGCATACCTTGCCTCGCGGCCAGCCGATCCTCGCAGCGCCGATCTGTCCAACTACTGGAAAGGCGCTCCGTCGACCGACGCCTCGTCGGAACCGGCTCAACCGCAGCTCGAAGCGCACATCGAGCTGGCACAGCGCATACAGACGCTCTTTGCGTTTGCGCAGCTCTCGCAAAGACCGCTGTGCGTCGTGAAGAACGTCACGAGCCTCGCGCCCAGCGAGACGATCGCGCGGGGTGCTGATCATTCACCGCCAGCCAAAGTGGCCAGCCTGTTCTACGAGTTTCTCGTCGAGAGCTACGGAAAGCACGTCGCGTCGGTGAGCGAGCTCATCTTGAATACGCCGGGGGCCGAGGCAGTCGAAACGGATGCGCTGTGGATGGACGATTCGCTCTTCCTTTCGAGCGGTGCCGCTGCCTTGACCCGGCCACTTTCGCCTCAGCAAAGCGCATCGGGGTCCAGTCGATCCGCACCCAAGGCGGAACAGCAGCGTAGCTTTATCCAGATCCGACACGATTCGGTCAACGCGGACACGTATTCGTGCTTGCGCGCGGCACTTGCATCCGACGGCGAGGGTGCGCTTCTCACGCGAACCGCGCGTACCATCAGTCTTGGCATCGAGCACGTGTCATCACTCGACTCGGATGTGCCACCATTCACGATCAACGAGCGCATGCATCTGGACTCGCTCATGTGGGACCGTCGGCAAGGCATGCGATTGGATGCCGAGCTGCGCGATCTCGAGATGGTGCGCCTCGATGCACTGCGTCAAGAGCTCGAAGCGCGCAAACGCAAACTCCTTGGCGACAGCGGCAGGCCCAGCACAGAGGTGCTGCAGGGTGCACAGCGGTACTTTGAGCAGGTTGCTTCGGCGGTTCCTGGCGCCGATGCCATCCGCTCGGCGTCGCTCAGAGAAGCGGCACCTCAGATCACCAAGATTCTCGAGGCGGTTCGTACGGATCTGGCTCAAACCGACCGATTGATCGCCAAGATCCGCGCGCAGATCGATGCCAAGCGTGCTGCAGTGGCCGAGCAGGCACGGCGCGAGGCAGCCAATGCCGAATGGACGCAGCTTACATACGACCTGTGTGCAGTGCTGTGCCACGAGGGCAATCGGTGCATCTCGTACGTCAAGCAGCCCGATAACACGTGGTGGAAGGTGGCGAGTGGCCGCGCAGTGCAGGTGCAGCGCGAGGATGTGGTCATGGGCAGACCGCAAGATGCATCGCTTTCGGTCTTTTGGGTCGTCTATGCGCGCGTCGAGGAGAATGAAGCGACAATGACAGTCGAGGACAGCCTCATCTCAGACGACGTCAAGGCTGCCATTGCAGACGACAACCTCACGTACGAGTCGGAGCTGCTCTCCTTGATCCGTTCCGATGCAGCTACGCCGTCGTCCACCGCCTCTGCAGGGGATCCCGTCGCCGAGCCCGCCAAGCAAGGCGTCGCAGAATCAAGAAGCGGTCCTCGGGACGAATTGCAAGACGTCACGATGGGCATTGAACCGGACAACACCCCTGCCCAGGAATCGGCACCACCGCCTGTCAACGAGAGCTGAGCAATGTCGCCTAGAGTCATGGCCAAGCAATTCAACACCGGAAAGACACAGCGTCATGCTTGACGCTAATTCATCACGCATCGATGGAAGGGGAAGTTCAGTGATGCACGACGTATGCGATTTTAGATGGTGGTGAGAAGAAAGTGTACATGACTCGAGGCTGCGACGCTTAAGCGACGATGCGAGCGGCTGACTGGGTGTGCGATTCTTGTCTGGCCTGTGCAGCTGCAAGATGCTTTCTCCAACCGGAAACGGGCTTTGTCCTTCCCCAGCCCCTGCGCAGAGCGGATCGCTTGGAGTTCTGGTCCTTTGCGCGCTGCGACTCGAAGCCGTTACGGCCCACACGCGCCTCGAGCTTGGTGCGTCGTGCATCGGCACGCGTGCGCGGTGCATTGCGCGTGTAGTGTTCCCAGGCCATCGAGTAGAGCTCGCCACCTGCCGGGTAGGGCGAAGGCAGATCTGTACGGAACGTCCAACGCTGCTTTCCATCCGCACCCACCGTCTTGTACGGCACAATCGTCGGGTGTCGAACATAGATCGCCGAGCATGTGGCGAAGGACACCTCGAGGTAGGGCGGCACGAACAGGAACGGCGCAGCATAGTCCGGCAGCGTGAAAGGTCGCACTCCGGGCGGAAGCATCTTCTCCTTCTCCTTGTCCTTGCCCTTGTCCGCACGAGCGGCAGAAGCATCGGCCTTGTCACCAGCGTTCTCGGACGAAGCCTCGGCCTCGGTGGACGCTTGTGTGGAGGCATCAGCAGACTCAGCAGCAGCCTCACCCTCCTTGGCCTCAGGAGCTGGCGCAGACTCTGCACTGGCTTCGGCGGCCTCGCTCGCCTGGGCAGCCTCGGTTGCGTCGGCCTCGCCCGAGACGGCGTCGTTGATCCTCTGCTGCTTTGCCTTCTTTGCGAGCTCCTCGCTGAGCATGGGCACGGCCGAAGGCTCGACGCTGATAAGGTCGCCAGGCTGCAGCAGCTGGTTGGGGTTGGAGCACCTTGTGCCGTTGATCTTGACCTTGCCTTGCACGACCATGGCCCTGGATTCGTAGGCGGAGCGAGCGAAGCACGAGCGGAAGACCACAACGTCGAGGCGGCGCTCGATGTCGCGCATGAAGAGCGAGGCGGTGGGCATAGCGTCCATCTCTTCAAGCGCCTTCTGCTGCGTGACGGTGGCGTAGGACGAGCCGGAGCCGGACGCGGACGGTGCGCCAGCTGCGGGGGCAGCAGGTGCCCTGCGTGCCTGGAGCGCCTTGTCAAAGAGACCGCCGCGTCGAGGACCGGAGGTGGATGAGCCCGACGAGACGCCCGAGGCGGTTGCGGCGGAGACCTGGGGTGGAACGAAGCTGGGGAGCTCGGTGGGGAGGAACCAGCGCTTGAAGCGCTTTTCTGGGATCCAGTCGCCGTGATATGCGCGGAGGAAGCGCTTGGAGCGCCATCGCTGCTGGTACATGGTGAGCGAGGTCTTTGTGAACGAGGTCTGCGAGGCGTGGAAAGGCACGGTGGAACGAGCGATCATGTTGTACAGGTTGCGCGCCGACCACGACATGCGTGGCATGACGGTCTCGTGGCTGAAAACTTTCGCCTTGCGCATCGTTGCGGAGGGGGACTGGAGGCGCCGAGGTCGGTGGTGATGCTGGTGAGGATGCGGGAGTGTCGGCGATGCTCAGTCGTGCGTCGGTAGGACTGGAGCGTGTTGCTGAGGCGAAGCGCCGACCAAGATGTGTGATGCGCTGTGTCGGGCTCGGGTTGGAAGAGTGGTGATGGTGCTCGCCGTTGCCGGATGACGAAGAAGAGCTGGCCAGCCTCCTCTGACTTTTTCCCGAAGTGTGGAAGAAATCCAGCAGCCAAGATCACGTGGTGATGCCTCGTCCACCGATCGGAATCGGTCTGCCGATCTACATCGCCCGATATTGCGGACGAAATCGCGAGATCTCGGATGTGACGGATTTTTTAGCTCGAGCACGCCATCGCTGCGCAGGTGCAGGGGATCTGCAAGCCCAGTCACGTAGGGTCGCGCTCCACCGCTGCCCCAAATCGAGGCCGGCAAGCACTTTCATTCGAAGCTTCCTCATAGGCAACAGCCGCTGCGCCCGCAGTTCAGCGGAACTTTGTTCTGTTCGGTCTCGCAAAGCGGGCAAGAAGGATCGAAAGGACTGGTCTGTGCATGGAGCGGGCGGCTGCGCTTCCTGTCCCAGACGGAAGGAGAGGATGGGCACGTTCCGGCCAGCCTTGCATGTGGCAGAAGCGGCTGTGGGTGTGAATCGCAACGACGCAGCGACAAGAGTGCGCTGCGCTGCGCTGTGCTACTGGACGCCGGCTTTCGGGACGACAGTTTGGGGGTTGAGCGGCGGCTCCACGCGTGAGTGCTTTGGCTCGAAGCTCTAGGTCGTGCGGTGTGTTGTGTGAGTGTTGGGGGGGTCATCAGCTGCAGAGCTGGAGCTGCGTGCAGAGTGGGAGAGAAGGCAGATGGGACGATTTTCGTCGGGTCGCTCTCGCTGTGGCGTTGAATTTCGATTTCTTCCAACTCTTGCATCCGCCGCCAGACCCTGATTGACAGGCAAAGTGCCTGGCGCGTGCATCGCACGTCAAACACGTCCGTGCTTTTTTTTTTTCTTCTTCTCGATGGGGATCGCTGGCTGTCGTCTCTCGGCACGTTCCGCCTTGGACTGACGGCCGCTCGTGCTTGCTGCCTGCTTGCTTGATTGCTGCTGAATGCCAGAACTACGCTACGCTGCCTCCGTCGACCCCATCCCCGTACTGCACGTCATCCCCCTCCCTTCCTCTCTATCATCACCAACCCCTTCCCATCCATCCTCATCCCCTTTCACCCCCTTCGTCATCTTTAGACAAAATGGCTCCCGCTATCCGCACTCTTCCCGAGGGTCACTTCCTCTTCACCTCGTAAGTGATCTTGTCCACGGATTAACAGGGTCATACTCCACCGTCCGGGCATGGCGGCTGATCATGTTCATTGTGCACTTTCCTGCTTGCCTCGTCTTTTTGCGTCACAGCGAGTCCGTCGGTGAGGGTCACCCCGACAAGATCTGCGACCAGGTCTCCGATGCCATCCTCGTAAGTATCTCTCACGAACCAGGGGGTGGATCTGCGTGTCTCCCGGATCAATTGCTGCTATTTTCGCGGCGTTGCCCCGCTGAGCCGGTGCGAAATCGATGCGGAAGTGGTCCGTCCAGCTTCCTGCGAAGCTCTCCGAAAACGAGCTCCAAAAGGCGAAGCACTATCGAACGAATCCAGTCGTAGTTGGCGGGGGATCCGAAAGATTGCTCAGTCTGATTCAGGAGCGTGCAGGGACAGCCTAGGTGCTCCATTTCCAATTTGCGACAGAAAGCTGACCAGTGCCAAATCTCTTCCTTTCCTCGCCTCCTTGTGCTTCACAGGACGCCTGCCTCGAGCAGGACCCTTACTCCAAGGTCGCCTGTGAGACCGCCTCCAAGACCGGTATGATCATGGTCTTCGGTGAGATCTCGACCAAGGCCCAGATCGACTACCAGAAGGTCATCCGTGACACCATCAAGAAGATCGGCTACGACTCGTCCGAGAAGGGCTTCGACTACAAGACCTGCAACGTGCTCGTCGCCATCGAGCAGCAGTCGCCCGACATTGCCCAGGGTCTCGACCACGGCTCGCTCGAGGAGCACGGCGCCGGTGACCAGGGTATCATGTTCGGCTACGCCACCGACGAGACCCCCGAGATGATGCCCATGACCCTCATGCTCTCGCACAAGCTCAACCTCGCCATGTCCGCCGCCCGCCGCGACGGCACCCTCGGCTGGCTCCGCCCCGACTCCAAGACCCAGGTCACCGTCGAGTACAAGAAGGACGGTGGTGCCACCGTCCCCCTCCGTGTCGACACCGTCGTCATCTCCACCCAGCACGCTGAGGAGATCTCCACCGAGGACCTCCGCTCCGAGATCATGGAGAAGATCGTCAAGAAGGTCATCCCCGCCAACCTGCTCGACAACGACACCATCTACCACATCCAGCCCTCGGGACGCTTCGTCATCGGCGGTCCCCAGGGTGACGCCGGTCTCACCGGCCGCAAGATCATCGTCGACACCTACGGTGGCTGGGGTGCCCACGGCGGTGGTGCCTTCTCCGGCAAGGACTTCTCCAAGGTCGACCGTTCCGCCGCCTACACTGCCCGATGGGTCGCCAAGTCGCTCGTCGCCGCCGGCCTCGCCCGCCGTGTGCTCGTCCAGTTCTCGTACGCCATCGGTGTCGCCGACCCCCTCTCGGTCTTCGTCGACTCGTACGGCACCGGCAAGAAGTCGGACGAGGAGCTCGTCAAGATCATCCGCGACAACTTCAACCTGCGTCCCGGTGTGATTGTCAAGGACCTCGGCCTGCAGAAGCCCCAGTACCTGGCCACCGCTGCCGGTGGTCACTTTGGCCGATCCGAGTTCTCGTGGGAGCAGCCCAAGCAGCTCAAGTTCTAAGTGGCCATGCCGCCTTCCAACTTGGGACTAGCTTGCTGATGACGTCTTGAGCGTCTGTCCTCCCAACCAACCCAAAAAAAATGGTCGATTCAACATCGTATATTCTTCCCGCAATCGTTCTTCTTTCTTCTTCTCCTCATGTGTTACCACCAACGTTCTTTTCCTTTCGCTCTCTTTTTTTTGCTTTTTTGCCCACTTCTCACGGTTCTCGAATCGGTTTTCTGTAGTGTTACTCGCTCTCTCTCTTTTCGTCTCTTGCATAGACCCGCCTAACCCCCAACCACGCCCCTCCCTCAACATCTGTACTACCTCTGCACTTTTCGTCGGCCTTTTCGTCCGCACTCGCACTCACCGCATACCGATCTAGCTGATCATCCCGGACGGCTACGACCCACTAATACCACAACACACGTCAACCGTGACTTTTGACCAGTCTGTGTCGGTTGTTACTTGAGGTCACAAGAGTGAGACTCTCTTTTGCACATTGCTCTTGTGTCGAAGATCATGCAGTCGTGCGGTTCTGATCACAGTTGTATTCAGTCTGACAATGAATCTAGCGACGAGGCAGGGCCGAGGTAGAGGCCTTGCGGTCGCGCGGCTCTACGATCGTCTTGAGCTCGTACGCGCTGTCGTCTTGAGGGAGCTGTGGCGAGTTTGGACGTGTAGGATTGACCGAGCTATCCTCTGACTTGCCCTCCATTCCGCCGACGATGCCGATGGACCTCAGCCTTGCTAGGGCGACGATGATCGACAGGACGGAGCAGGCAAAGCAGAACCAAGACGCAGCCTTGTACCCTTTTAGCAGTGCTTCGACTGGAACTGTTTCGCTGCCACCTGCATCCACCGCCGCACCAGCCGCGCGCTTGACGAGCGAAGACCCAGTCAGCAGCATCGACGGATGCAGTGAAAGACCTCGCGATAGCAGCAGCGTCGTATGACTCTGGGCACTGGACACGGCAGCCTTGGTTACCGAAGTTGAGATGGTCGAGGAGATGGCCAGACCCAGCGAAGTGGCTACACGGATTGTGGTGTTGAAAAGCGATCCCGCGAGTGCCTGGTGCTGACGTCCAACGGACTTGGAGCTGTACAGAGAGCCCGCGGGGAAGAAGACATCGGGACCAACTTGGAGGATGAGGACGTAAAGCATGGCTTTGTAGTACGGCGTGCTCGGTTCAACGGCGACAGACAGAATCAGGCAAGCAGCTGCACCAGCTGTAGCCCCTCCCACAATAAGCCAGACGGCGGGGACCCTTCCGACGACAGCACCAGCCAGCACGTTGAGCGCCAGACCCATGCCGACCATGGGAAGGAAGAAGAGCGAGGTCTTGGTGGCCGAAACATGCTGCACTTCCTGAAACACCAGAGTGCTGAGGTACGACATCACGTTGAACGACAGCCAGGCGAGGAAGATGACCAGCAGTACCGCACCAAAGCGCGGCGCTCGCCAGATGGCCGGCGGCAGCAACGGCGTGGTGGGCGGCGCCTTGAAGAAGGTTGCGTTGCGCGTTTGATGCTTGGTGGCTGCGACGGACGCGCCCGTCTCGTAGGTGCGCTGCCTGCGTTCAAGATAACGCTCCCAAGAGATGAAGGCCGCGAGCAACGCAACGGATGTCGGAAGCAGCGCCAATACGTATGAGGTCTTCCAGCCGTGCGGCGCCGACTCGGCATCGGCAAGCGCAAACGTCAGCATGACCAGTCCACTGGTAGACATGAAGGCGCCAAACCAGTCGAATGTCTTAAGTCGCATCGAGCGGCTGGTGCTGTCGCTACCACCATGAGCTGAGCCCGCGGACGCGGCAAGCTCGTCCAGGTTGTGAGGTACCGACGTGGTGGAGGCACGTCCTTCCACCGAGACTGTAGCCGCATTGGTGGGCAGATGGAGGACCGAGGTGGCACGCGAGTTTGCGGCGGTCGGAATGAGCTCCTCGCCCTCGTTTGGCAGCGACACGTACGCGCACGCTCCGAGACCGATGGCGAAAGCGCCCAAGATCCAGAAGATGATGCGCCAGTTGTTTGCCAGCAGACCACCGAGAATGAGGCCCAGGATGAAGCCGATGGGCTGTGCAGCGCCGATGAGTGCAAAGCTGCGGTTCTTGATGGGACCTTCCGGGATCGAGCTGCCAAGGATGCCCACTCCTGCCGGAATGAGCATGGCGGCGGCCAAACCCAAGCCGGCACAGCATCCGATGAGGCCCGTTCCGGATTGCATGAAGGAGGTGGCGATTGAAACTGCCGCAAATACGGCGACGCCCAAGAGGAAGACACGTCTGCGCCCGAAAGCGTCCGCCATGGCGCCGGCGATGAGCAGCAGCGCACCGCTTACCAGCGAGAACATGGAGAGCGGCCACGAGAGCAGCTCTTGCGACAGTCCGATCGATTTGGCAATGGAGGGCAGCGCCACTGTCAGCGCTCCGCCCAGGAAAGAGTTGAGCACTGTCACGCCGCTGATGGCAGTGAGCGATAGGATGATGCGCGAGAGAGACGAGATTTTGGGTGGAGAGAGCATGCGGGCGAGCTTCTTGGACGAGAAGGCGCTGTGGCGCAGCTCGGACAGGCTGCTGGATCGCTGCATACTCATGCTTGGAGCCAGAAGCGATGGACGGATTGCGAGGGGTATCCGATGGGTATCTTTGCGCGCTGCGATGGTGGTCGAGGAAGAAGTGGAGCGGCCTCCTCCCAACGCCAGCTTTTCTTCTCGATGGCTTGGCGGGAGTCACTCCGTGGGCTCCGTTGGTACTGAACCTTGAATCCTCGCGCCGCCTTTAGCCGAGAGCAGCCGACTCGGCGTCGGACCCTGCATCAATCTGATACTAATCGGGCCAGGTGCTGCTCCCGATTCACAATCGGTCTGAAAAATCGACAATTGCCGGGGAATTGACCGATGAGCGTCACTGATGGGAGCGCGCGGCACTTGCATGCCTCGATCTCGACCATCACCACCCAAGCTCATCCGACACCGACAGTCACCGAGAATCGCAGCAATGTCGACAGCACCAACACTCTCGCTTCAAAAGACCTCGGTCGCGCTGATTCAGCTGGGCTCGACATCGTTCGACAAGGCCTTCAACCTCAAGCGTGCACGCGATGCAGTGTTACGGGCAGCAGCCACGCGTCCGGGTGCAACCGCCTCGATCTCGGCCCCCGTGGGCATGGTGGTGCTGCCCGAATGCTTCAACTCGCCGTACGGCGTGAAGTACTTTGCCGAGTATGCCGAGTCCTTTGGCGGAGCCTATCAGAAGATCAAGAAGCCGCTTCCTTCTGCACTGGCGCGTATGGGCAAGGGCAAAGAAGAGATCCGCTGGACCATCGATGCATCCACCGATCCGAGTGCAGAATCCCGACTGGCACGCGAAAAGGGAGTCGGCAAACCGGTCGACATTGACGAGCGCATTCAGAAGCTCTCGCCGAGTCTCAAGATGCTCTCCGAGACGGCGCGCGAGGCCAAGGTGGTGCTGGTGGGCGGAAGCGTGCCCGAGCGCGACGATCTGACGGGCAACATCTACAACTCGTCGTGCGTGTTCAACGAAGAGGGACAGCTCATCAGCATCCATCGCAAGCTGCATCTCTTCGACATCGACATCCCGGGCAAGATGACGTTCCAGGAGAGCGAGACTCTGGCGGGTGGCGATCGCGTCACGCTTTTCGACTGCAGCCTCGGCCGCTTTGGACTGGGCATCTGCTACGACTTGCGCTTCCCCGAGCCGGCGATGATTGCGGGTCGTCTGGGCGCAGGATGCATGATCTATCCGGGCGCTTTCAACACCACTACGGGCCCCGTGAGCTGGGAACTGCTGCTGCGCGCCCGCGCCACGGATAACCAGGTGTACACGCTCGGTTGCAGTCCGGCACGCCCCAGCCAGCAAGCGATGGATGGCGAGTCGAGCGACAAGGACGGCTGGCGCCAGGGCGAAAAGGCGTACCCTGCCTGGGGACATTCGACCGTCGTCGGCCCGCTCGGCGACGTCAAGGCGAAACTGGCAGAGGCGGAGGATACGCTCTTCTTTACGCTCGACCCCGAAGAGGTTGCCCAGACGCGACGAAACATCCCCATCAGCACCCAGCGCAGGTTCGATGTCTACCCGGACATCACCTGCGGATAGTCGAGTGCTTACATGTACGTAGAGCGAGCCGAATCGTTTCGAGGCAGAGCTATACGAGATCAAGTGTTGCGTCAGCTGGTCGTTTGAAAGGAAGCGGCATTGAGCGAGCTCGAGAAGGTAGGGCAGTCATGATCGCCGATCGTCGCCCAAGCAGACGAGGTTGCAAAGGCGCATCGGGAAGACAAAGTGTAGCGGGTCCATTGGGATGCGGCCGTGTCATTGTCTTGACACTCGCAGGCTGGCACCAATGAGACCCAAAGCGGGCCGGGGCGAAGTGCGCTTCGGTTCAGGTGGGGGCCGCGGTGGGCATTGAGAAGCGGGTTGGAGCCGCAAAAAAAGGCTTGGCTCGCGTCGAGCTTCCGCAGGCCCGCGAGTCCACTCGCCCCCTCGGTCGGCGTTGCTTCCGCGTGGCCAACACTTTTCGCGATGCTTACACAGAATGCCTCCTCCTCGAAGACGAACTCCTTGCCGCTTCACCCAACGAGCGACGTCGTTATCGATCGCGCCTAGGCTATGCTCAACACATCGATGAGAGTTGAGCCGAACAGAGCCGGGAAACCGCCCGCATTAGCGGCGGAGAAAGGAGGATTTTCGGCGGAAATGCGATTCATGCCTTGAAAGCTTCGCGGAGAGCTACAGCTACGCAGCTCAACACGGGCGGTGCGGCGCGGTGGCGTGCGGAGTCGAGCCGGACAGACAGAGGCTCGGGCGAAATTTGACCGAGCGGCTTCTCAAATGCACCCCCCGGCAGCGGCCCTTTCGGTGCCATTCAGGCTCGAGACCTGTCCAACTGCAAGCCTTCCCACCACGGCATAATGTCGGTAGAACACAGACTGCACAAGCCACAAATGGGGCCGCGTCGAACCCCGACCGCATCCACCGGCGACGACGGGGAAGGGTTGCGATGGCCAAGCTTACCATCAACCGACGAGTATCGAGCATCGAGCGTCGAGACTGGCTCTGCGTATCCAGCACCAAGTAGATAGGCTTTGTGCCCACACCGACACAGTATTAATTGAGCGGCTGCGTTGTAGACATGCCTGCGTGTGGGGTAAGCTTTGCAAAGAACAGGGGAGCGGCTGGGAGCCGGGGCCGATCTCGAGGAGGTGCGGGGTAGTCCGCATGACCGCCGCGCTCATCTCAGCCACCTCGACGACCGACCGGCGAGGAGCAAGCGGGGACACATGGGTCGTCGGTGCCAAATTTCGCCGTCAAATTCCACTCATCTGTGCCACCGACCCCACTGCTGATCTGCAGCCGACGCGTCTGGGACCCCACCCTGACTCTGCCAACAATGGCGTTCCCGCGTTGGCATCTCTGCAGCGCCACCGGTCAACTCCTTCCACCCGCTATTGTCCAATACAAATATTGTGGGGATGAATTCAGCCGCACGCAATGGGCAGGTCTGGGCCGTCGGGCGGCCCGCTTGCCTCTGGACCAATCACAGCCCATTCTGACCTTGATGAGATGCAGGCACCCTTGATCTTGTCCAATGGTTCTGCCGTCGGAATCCAGAGTTGGATTGAACGACTCTTGCCGCCGCCCAAAGGTTGCACAGCGACTCTGTGGATGTGCGGGGGCCCGGTGCTCCCCCGCGTTTCCGCCCACGCGACGAGCCGGATCTTTTTTCTTTTTTTCTTTTCTCCAAATGAATGTCAACTGCTCCAGTGCCTCAGACGCCCGCCCGCGGCACAAGTGGACGCGAAGCGATGCGGTGCTCAACCGAGACGTGTGGGGCGCGGTTGCACACTGGCAGCCGCCTCAGCAGCTTGCTCTCCCCCCCCCCGCGCTCGCTAACCACAAGCTAGCGTCACAGGATGCATCTTGCCACCGAGCAGCACCAGTTGTTGGGCGTGCATACCAATCATGACCGGCCAATCGTGCACTTCGCTTGCCAGCACGTCGTACTCGATGTGGGGAAAGCCGCATGGCCACGGCCAAAGCTTTGTGGGGTCCCGCGCTCCCCGACCTGTCGGCCTCGTGTCTTTGTCCTCCGTTGCGATGCACTATCGATTCGTACCAGGCGACGGATCGCCCGTCAGGTGCAGTTCCGCAGTATGTGCCTGTCTCGCTTCCTGATCCAGCATGCGTCGCACCACCTGCTCCTCCGTAATGTCATGCATATGCTCGGGTCTATAAAGTCCACCCCCTTCGCGTGCCACTTCGTCCTGAATCTACACACCTCCCTCCCCTTTCCCTACATCCACCTCCCCCAAGACCAGCTCAGACACCACTCCGTGCCTGTAGTCCGAGAGCCATGGGTCGCTTCAACAAGAACAACGGCCCCGCCGCCGACCGCGCCGTCACGGCCGACACGCTCACCAAGAGCCAGCTCTACTTCAGCTTCGCGCTCGTCTCGTCGCTCTTCTTCGTGTGGGGTCTGTCGTACGGTCTGCTCGACTCGCTCAACAAGACCTTCCAGGACTCTCTCCACCTCACCAAGGCGCAATCCACCGGTCTCCAGGCATGCTACTTCGGCGCCTACCTCATCAACGGTCCCATCTCCGGTCCTCTCGCGAGGAAGTACGGCTACCCCTTCTCCATCCACGGTGGTCTCGGTCTCTTCTCCCTCGGTGCCATCATGTTCTGGCCTTGCGCTGTCTACTACTCCTACCCCGGTTTCCTCGTCTGCACTTTCGTTACTGCCTCCGGTCTCGCATGGCTCGAGATGGCCGCCAACTCCTACATCACCGTTCTCGGTGGCCCTGACATGGCCGCCTTCCGTCTGGTGTTTGCTCAGTCGTGGAACGGGGTCGCCTCCGTCCTTGGCCCCATCATCGCCGGTCGCACTTTCCTCAAGACCGGTCATTCACACACGCTCAACCATCTCCAGTGGGTCTACCTCGGCATCTCGCTCTTCGGTTGCGTCATCAACTTCCTCTTCTTCATCGCCAAGCTGCCCGAGGTCAAGCAGGAGGTGGATGCCGCCATTGAGGCCAAGCCCGTTTCGATCTGGACTCAGAAGCACCTCATCTACGGTGCGATTGCCGAGTGGTTCTACGTCGCCGTGCAGGTCTCGATCGCTTCGCTCACCATCAACTACTACGTCGAGCAGCCCGGTCTCAACATCACCGTCTCGAAGGCCGCTGACCTCTTCTCGGTCACGCTTGCCGTCTTCACCATCGGACGATTCATCGGCGTCCCCATCCTCGCCAAGGTCGACTCGGCTCTCATGCTTTGCATTTGCGGTATCGGCTGCATGATCATGACCATTCTCACGGCCGTCGTGCCCGGCAACGGCGGTATCGCTTGCTTGATGCTCATCTTCTTCTTCGAGTCGGTGTGCTACCCGATCATCTTCACCCTCGCCACCTCCAACCTCGGTGCCAACCAGAAGCTCGGCAGTGCGCTCGTCGCCGCCGGTGTTTCGGGTGGTGCTTGGGGTCCCTCGGTGCAGGCTGTTGTCGCCGACGCCACCTCCACCCACCGATCCTTCTTCGTGCCCATCGGTGGCTTCGTCGTCGTCTCGGCCTACGGTCTCTACATGCACCTCCGCGGCTGCAAGCAGCAGGGCTACTGGAGCTGGCGCAAGCTCGACAAGCAGACCGCGATGGCCGTCACCGCCGCCCGTCGTTCCGACTCGGATGTCGAGCAGGATGGCTCCGAGAAGGACGTCAAGGTGTCCACCCCCACCTACGCCTCCGTGCCTTACCAGCACTAAGCCGCGCTTTCTCACAGACATGACCCTCTGTCATTTATTGTCACCGTTCCAGTCGCTAGGCTATCTTCCCACCGTCACACGCAAATAAGCCTTCTTGTAGTCTATACCACTCTGTATTTTGACAATTGACTGATGGACTCTTTTTATCAATTTTTTTCTCGAGACTAAACTTACAGTATTGACGGTAGGGGCTACTTCTTTGCTTGTGCGAGGGCCCAGGCATCCCCTCCCAGGCGCTGATAAGCCTTCTCGATGATTCGGAGGTCGTTGTCATCGCTGAGCGTAGGCAGGTGATACAGGTACCACGGTCGCATGTGCTCAAAGTTGATCGTGTAGTTGACCCCCTTCAACTTCAGTCTCCAAAGGTCGTAAAAGATCGCGGCCTTTACCTCGCCGGCTTTGTCCTCCATAACACCGAACCTCTTCGTCTTCAGCTTCATCTTCTCCCCCTCCGGGACTGTTGGCCGCACTTGAGCGTTCCAGTACGAATAGAACTTGCCCTTTACCTTAGCCCGGTTCACCGAGACCCCAGCGAAGTCAGAGTACTGGACTTTCGCTTTTGGCGCCAAGAATTGCACCACTCTTTTGATGGTCTCGGTGTCCTCCAGGTCTGCGAGGTACACTTCGAGCCTATGAGGACGATTGAGAAGCGCTCCAGCTCCGTGCTGGTAGAGCGACACCAGATCGTACATCTCGATCGCCAGCTCCATCTCGTGTGCCTCAAAATTCTGCGCGGCCGAGCGATGCTGGCCTTTGACGTTGGTCTCGACACGCCATCGTTGACGATGCGTCTGAGAGACGCCAATAAGACCAGACCGGCTGGCATCCTTGCGAGCATTCTGGGCGTTGGCCGAGCGATCTGTGGCTCGGAGGTTCTTGAGACGGTGATTGTAGATGTCTCCATCCACGTGATCGACCACCTGCGCAGCTGTCGCACTTCGCAGCCAGCGGGACAGGAAAGTCGTAAAGGGGACGCCCCCGCCCGACACCGCAACTCGATCAGCCCTCGTGATGAAGACCCTGATTCCCGCGGCCCGGATGTCGAGCCACGAGGAGTCGTCAACCAGGGCCTCCACCGGCTCGCCACGGCTATTGACGAGGGGAAAGTAGGCGATCTGGCTCGCGTTGCGCTCGATTGTGAGCTGACTCCGTCGTTGGGCGCGTCCAGCCTCTTCACGGAACCGGCGAGCTTGCACCTCCGATGCCGTGGAAGAAGCGGCCTGCCGAGCCGCAGTGAGAGTCTGGTGCTGACTGGCCACCTCAACCTCATCGTGCAGCACCAGAAATGAGGAGCACACCCGCCAGATCGCCACTCCGTCCAGGTAACTTTCCGTTTTCTCGACCTCCTTGTCCTGGTCGGGCAGCGAGTTGAGGAGGCCGTCCAGCCCGTCAAGCTGATCTCCGTGCTGGAGACGGCAGAGAAGATCGTACAGGCGGGCGGCAGGCTCGGCCTCGTCGAAGCGTGCACGCTCGCGCCCACGGAAAGCGACCACATACTTGCGTCCAGCACGTTGGACACCGCGGAATCCAGACTTGCTATCCTTGCGGTCCATGTTGAACGTGTTGAACGCAGGGGTCTCCCAGTGCAAATTAGCCTCCGTATCATCCGTGGTCATCCTATTGCGATGGTCCACGATGATACGATCTGCGTGTGGCGAGGGATTCTTCTCGGCCACGATCCGCGCAAGTGCCATGTGCGAGGAGACGACCCGGTGGTAGGTCTTTCCATCCACGACCTTGGTCGAAAGGAAGATCGAGCCCAGGAGCAGATGCTCGTTATGCGTGTCGATGCGGCATGCAATCGGCACGTTCTCCTTGGACTCTTGGATCGTATAGGTGGTAATACCGTCGTTGCGCGACAGGATCACCACTTCGGGCGCACGATCTGTTGCCCGCGGGACGGACAGGGGAGTATCGCCGTAAAGAGCTCCCGAAGGATGGGGCTCGACGGGGAAGGGTTCGGGTGTGCTGGCCCGGGACGAAGCACTCGCTGCTGTCGATGTTGCCAAAGGGTCCAGTGCGCTCGCGGTGACGCTTGTGCTGGCGTGCTCGGGCAAAACAGCTTCTCTGGAGGCAGTATTGCCCGTGGCAGTGCCGGTATGCTGCTTTGAGGGTACGCGCGAAGGCAAGGGGGAGCCGCCCCGTTTCTTTGGCCCTTCGGGCTTAAACCAATCCGTGATTCGTCGAGACATTGTGACGCAAGACAGTTTCAGATTCACAGATGATGGTGCTGATCTCAGTGAGCGAGTGAGAAACGCCACAGACTAGATGGGATCAGCATCTTCGATCCTCGTCGGATGTACCGATGTTTGTTCCTCCAGCTCTCTCTTCTTCTCTCACAGACCACTGTCCACGCTCGGCTGTGACGCTCGCGATCGACGCAAATGCAGTCCGAATTCTAATTGAGGCGAGCCACTAAACGAGGTATCAGTTGAAAGCTTCTCTCAGGCGAGAATCCGGCTGGCGAGCTTCTTGGGGTTCTTGTACCACGGCTTCTTGGCGGGAACATCGCCGTCGACGACGTCTGCGGGCCCTTCAAAGTCCGAGATCAGGCGACGGCCCGAGTCGAGATCGATGTCTTCCAGGGCGACACTGTGTTGTGCAACCAGAGCGAGGATGAAGAGAAGAACGTGAGTCCAGTCAGCATGAAGAAAGGTGAAAGCAGTGGCGAGGAGAGAGATACACACATTCGGGTCCTGTGGATGATCTTCCAGCCAAAGTATAGGATGACGGCGACGGGGATGACGATGTAGGCGACGATGATGTCGGCGGCCTTTCTTGGGTTGAGGAAGGTGGTGTATCCCTGGAAGAACATGAGCACGATGTTGAGCACAAATGTGACCCAAGTTCCGTAGGGCGCGAGCCATGCACGGAAGGGGAGCTCGTCGAGCGAGCGTCCCTGGCGCTGCCATGCGGCGCGGAAGCGGATGTGGCAGAGGCAGATGATGGCAAAGATGATGAAGGTGCTGACACCGGAGATGTTGATGATGTACGAGAACACGGTTGACGCGCCCGCGTTGATCGAGAGCAGCGAGATGAGCGCTACAAGGTTGGAGAGCACGAGCGCAGGGATGGGAACCTTGCCCTTGGGCGTGGTCCATCCGAAGATCTTGGGTGCCCGGCCAGTAGCACCGAGCGACTGTAAGGTTCGGGAGGCGATGTAAAGAGAAGAGTTGCCCGCCGAGATGACCGAGAGGATGATGAGCGCGTTGATCAAGCTCGCAGCCGCTCCGATGCCGCCGTTCTTGAGCGCGATGGTGAGTGGGGAGGCGGCAGCCTTGCTCTTGGCGCTGACGAGCTGCGAGTCGTTGGAAGGCACGTTGAGCGAGATGAAGAAGATCGTTCCGAGGTACAGCACCAAGATGCGGTAGAAGACGGAGCGAATGGCCAGAGGCACGGCTCGGGCGGGATTCTTGGCCTCGGCTGCGGCGATGCTGACACTCTCGACACCGGCGTAGAGGGTGGCCGAGACGACGAGGATCTTGGCAATACCGTTGAGGGCGTCGATGCCGGTGCCGTTGAAAGGGCCGGGATCCCTGAAGTAGCGGAAGCCGATGTAGCCCTGATCGCCGCCTGCGCCGCCGACGTTGATGACGATGCTGAGGATGAAGAAGATGACGATGCCGATGACCTTGATGGTGGCGAGGATGAACTCGACTTCGCCGTATGCCAAAACGCCGAGCATAGAGAGGCCCATGAAGAGGACCCAGAAGATGGCGATCCATGCGCCGGTGGGGACGACACGTGCGCCGTCCCAGTAGCGGATGACGATGGCGACGGCGTTGTACTCGTTGGAGAGCACCGAGATCCACAGCTCCCAGTAGATCCAGCCTGCGACGAATCCGAGCGCGGGGTCGACCCAGCGGCCAGCGTACTCGACGAAGGAGCCGCGGATGGCAAAGAGCGTCGCCATCTCTCCGAGCGCCTGCAGGACGAAATAAACGATGGCACCCGTGACGGCGAATGCAATGAGCGCGCCAACCGGGCCGGCATTGGCGAGTGCCGAGCCTGATCCGACGAGAAGACCGGGTCCGATGACTGTGAGGCGGTTGCAGAGGGAGGTGAGTACAAGTCATCGTGGGCGGGCTGAATGCTGTGGGCGGGCGATTGAGTACTTACTGCCTCCGATCGAGATCATGACCATGTGGCGAGTCTTGAGCGCTCTCCTGAGCTCTTCGGGCGGTTCATTCGAGTCGGTCGAAGGTGCGGTCGAGCGGGTCTTTTCAACATCTTCCGCGTCGGGCGAGGAGGGATGCGACGACGGCATCTCCTTGAACGCCGAGCCTGTCTGCACCGTCTCTGATGCGATGTGGTCGTTGCCACCGTGTGTGGCGTTAGGTATGGACATGTTGCCGGTCGTGTAGTGCTTTGCGGGTCGTTGCACTGGGGTCGGTGGTGGTGGAAGGAAAGACCTCCGTGTCCTTCGACTGGGCGAGGGGGGATGGATGACGAGACGTGTGGGAGAGCAGGTGGCGACCCACTCGTGCTGTTGAGAGGATCGGCGTCAAGCTGCAGCGAGGCAGCTGTCAAAGCGAGCGATAAAATTGGTTTTCAGGGTCAGTCGATGCCAAGACCCGCGGGTCTTGCTGCCGTCCCGCCGAGTGCGGCGAATGACAATCACTGCGGAGCGCGGCCGGTGTGCAGAGATCAGGGAGTGTGAAATTTCTCCACCGACGCATCTCGTGCAGCCAAACGGAACCCTTGCGTGCTCCGACCATCATGGCACGCGAGCTGGCTCACGCTCCGCCTCGTGGCCGCCTATGTCTGTCCGAGCAGTCCATCGTGCTCAACCTTAAGTGCACTGTCATGCTCGCGTACCTGTGCGCGTTCCTGACGCGCGCCATACCGTCCTCATGCCGTGAACTCGTATAACGCTCGACTAGACAGATGCTCGTGGGCTCCGAGAGGCACCGGAAGGCAGCGTAGGCGAGCGGGTGCCGGTCCTTGACAGTGTGCGGCGTGAGGGCGTGACCATCGGGTCATTTGGCTCGTAACTTGACCGATGCCTCGATCCGGCTCGCAGCAGAATCGAACCGGCCATGTCCAGCGAGCCGTGAACGAGGCTAAATGTGGCGGAATCGACTGAAATTTGAGAAAAAAAAGGCAAAAAAAAGCACGAAAAATGGCACCAGCTCGACACACACCCGTACGAGAGACGACCTTCAGCTTCAGAGCAAAAGAAGATGGCGGTCCGAGTCACTAGCCAGCGCGGCCTACTGATTGGACGCTGGCCTGCGATTGTAGAGCAGCACACAGATCAAGCAGACCAGGCTGGCCGTGCGGGGCGGGGCAATCACGCACCGATTTTCCATTCGTCAGGTGGGGGCGAGCGAGAAGATCCGCAACCCAGAGTAGCTTCGGGAGCTCAATGCCAGAAGCGAGCCAGCTTCGCACGAGCTTCTTGCACTCCCGCCACCGCTTCTTACACACATACGGCTGTCGCCAGGATGTTCTCCAGAGGCGCTGCTTCCATGCTGAGGGCGGCATCGTCGTCGGCATCGCAGCCGATGGCGCGCCTGCCTGCCAGCACCACCGCCGTCCGCCATCTCTCGTCATCGATCAGGGCCGCGCTGCCCAACTCGACCGACAAGCGCGAGCAGCCGCAGCAGGGGCAGCAGCAGCCGCTCGAGTCCGACTCGACCTCGGCGCTCGACTACAAGCTCGCACACAAGCTGCGCAAGCTGCCGCCGCTGCCGTCGCTCGAGCCTCCTTCGCTCGACGCACCGCAGGCGGTGTCCAACATCCTCTACAACACGCCGCCGCCGTCCAAGGCGCCCTTCAAGCGTCACACGCTCAACTGCCTCGTTCAGAACGAGCCTGGTGTGCTGTCGCGCGTTGCGGGAACCCTTGCCGCGAGAGGCTTCAACATCGATTCGCTCGTCGTGTGCGGCACCGAGATCCGCGATCTGTCGCGCATGTGCATCGTGCTGCGTGGCCAGGACGGCGTGATCGAGCAGGCTCGCAGGCAGCTCGAGGACCTCGTCCCTGTCTGGGCCGTGCTTGACTACACCAACACCAAGGTCATCGAGCGCGAGCTCATGCTCGTCAAGGTCTCCATTCTCGGCCCCGAGTACTTTGAAGAGTCCCAACAGGCCTCCAGCCCCGCCAACACGCCTGAGCTCATCGCCGAACGAGAGACCGATGCCAGCAAGGCTGCCTCCGCCTCGGCCTCTTCGGGAGCAGCTCAGCAGGCCATGACCCCGCTCACGCCAACCGAGGCGCTCCGTGTCAAGTCGGACAACATGCGCTCCGTCATTGCTTTCGCCGAGCAGTTCCGTGGCCGCGTCGTCGACGTCTCGTCCACAAGCGTCATCGTCGAGATGTCCGGCAAGAGCAGCCGATGCGACGCCTTCCTCAAGCTCGTCCGTCCCTTTGGTATCCTCGAATGCGCGCGTTCCGGTACCATGGTCCTGCCCCGCTCGCCCATCCCTTCGTCCTACGCTGGTGCCGAAGACCTTACCGAGGAGGAGGTCGAGGCCATCGACGCCGGTGCTCTGCCTCCTGGTTAGAGCGTCATCCAGCCCACCCCTAGCCCCCCTCATCATCTCCCACCATGCCGCACTTCTGAAACCATCAGCAACACTTTTGGCGAATGTCCCCACAGCCTGCGCAACAGCGAATCGCGTGACGACAAAGAGACTGCGTAAATGAGAGATAGCATTGCGATCAAGTCGAGCTAGACAAAGATGAAACTACGATTAAGGCGGTTTCACAGGCGAGGCGCCAGAGCACAAGGCGCCAGAGCACAAGACGCGGATGGAGCTAGTATACAAAAGGCTGGATCAGACAGGCGGGAGCGACAAAGACGAGCAAATAGCGCTCGGAAGGGTCGGAAGAAGGATGCGGGGAGGACTGAATGCGAGGGACGACAGACTTAGACGGAGCGGACAAGGGACGACAGATACGAGTGGCAGCGAGAACACGACAGAGCGATGACGAGGTGCAATCACCATTCGTCCATCATCATCTCGTTGATGCCGCCGGCTGCCGCCTGTGCGCGCGCAGCCTCGCAATCGCCTTCGACGTGCTCCCACAGCGGCTTACCGCCAGCGTGCTGCTGAGCAAAGTATCGGTGAGCGGGGGTGCCGTTGCCATCGTCCGAGGGCGACGGAGTAGGCGGGAACTCGAGACCCATGGGGTAGCGCATCTGTGCCGGAGGCGAGCGAGGCACCTCGTTCTGATTCGACTCGATGACCATCTGCACATCGGCATTGCCATCGAGCAGGTGGAGTTCGTCCGACTTGATGAAGGTGTATCCATAAGAGGTGACCACCTTGAGCCAGTGCGGGTTGTTGCTCGTGAAGACGGGGGAGGGAGCAGCCTCGGCACCCTTGCCCTTGTTCGAGGTGGCGGAGGAATGTGTGAAGATGTCGCGCTGCAGATTCTGCTGTTGAGGTGCGCTCAGATCATCAAGCGTGATGTCGGACGAGCTCGCAAAGGGATCCTGCGCGAACTCGGACATGGATCGCACGGGCATGGGAGGATGGACCGGAGTCTGCTGCTGGAACTGCAACGAAGCCGCGGAGCGCGAGCCTCGCAGCGGCATGGTAGGGCGGGCACGCTTGCCCGAGAGCGGCGAGGTCTCTGCGGTCTCTTCGCCTTCCATCCGGCGCTTGGGTGTAGGCGAAGAGCCGCCCGCCATGGTGTTGAGGTACGAAGTCTTGACGGCTGGAGAGAGCAACATGGTGACGAAGAACACAGCGGCTGATGACGACGATGTGGGTTGGATGTGGAGGTGATGGAAGCCGTGGGCGAGGTGATGGGAACGCGGATGTGAGGATGCGAAGTACTAGTGGCCGGCACTCGTAGAGCAAATAGACAGAAGGGAGGCAGAGTGGATGCGTGTAGAAGCGTCAAGTAATGCGGGGGAAGAGCTGGGTGGCTTTGCAGCTTGGGGTGGGAAGAGTTGATGGTCGGAAGGATGGAGCATCTGGCGCCCGCCTCCAGCTCGCGTTCGTTCCCAGATCGGAAGACGGGAATGCAAGGAGATCCTTCGACAGCTTCTCCATCCGCTCCGCTCCCACGGCTCCAGCGCCCAGGCGAGCGTCGAGCCGCCCATTTTGCCGAGGTCGTCTGGCCTTGTCGGCCCAGCCGCGTCCATCAATTTCCGGCAAAAGTTTGTGAATTTTCGCGGCAGGTCCGCACTCTGACTTTTCTCATGACTGGCGCGAGCCGCAGAGGGCCGCAGTAGAAAGTGGATGAATCTACAGACCGCCCCGAAGCGGCGGTGGAGCGATCCAAATTTACGCGTTGCCGAAATGGGAAAGGCCGCTCAGCAGCGGAAGAAAATGCGGAGGCCTTGCAGCTAGCTCTGCCACCGCGAAATGGCGGCGCGACGCGACCACACGACCAAGACTACGGTCCGGTCGCTCACACTATCGTGCGTGTGAAGCGTTGGCGCAATTTCGTACGAATCCAACAATTCGTGTGTGGTGCTCACAAGGATGTAACATAAGTCAAATTGTGCCTCAATCGGGTTCGTTCATCTGCGATTCATCTAATGTTCTGGACCCGGCGGACGGACCTCCACGCGAGCTGCCGAGCGTGCGCGACCCGTCTCGAACGATTTTAGAAACTGCAGCAGCACAGCGCCGTTTGCCTCGAAATGGGCGTGCATTGCATGGCATCAGGAGTTCTGGCTGCACGCATCAGTCAGCCAACGGCCTCATCTATGCGCATGGCAAGACCCTGGCTTCTCGTCGTCGTCGTCGTCCCTTCCCTTCTCCCGTCTTGCAGATGAGCATCCCATCCTACACCACCGCCGTCTCATATGGACGGTGATTCCCATCCTTCGGGTGGCTCGGGCTCAGGCTCTGGCTCGGCGCCAGCCGCAATGGCGCCTCCAGACGGTCCGCCACCACCGCATCCCTCGGCGTCCGACACTCCCATGAGCGCGCCCACACCCCTGCAGGCCCCGTCGGCAACCTCGAGCGCTGCGGCTTCTCGCAAGAGCAGCCTCCGCTCCAACGCGCCACCGTCGTCCTCAGCATCAACGACTCGAATCCGCAAGGGTCTTCTGTCCAGAGCAGGAAGCGAGGCGGAGGACAGGTCCTCACGGGGGGCATCGGCGGCTCACAATCAACTCACCACCGACGATGACGATGACGAGCTCATGATCAGCGACTCGGGCCCCATGCCTCGTCGCTTTGCCTCCCAGAATCGCGGTCCCATGCAGACCGCCAACAGCTCTCGCCAGTCGTCCCAGTCGTCTTTGCCCCTCTCTTCGTGGGGCTCTACAGCTCTTGCATCCAGTTCGCAGAGAAGTGCCGCCGCTGCACCACCACATTCGCCTTCGCATCCCAGCTCCTCCTCAAGCAGCATCGCTTCGGGCAACCGCAGTGGGAGCGGCGAGGCCAGCGAGGGCGCTTCGAGCGCAGGCGGCGTCAGCCTCGGTCGAGCCATGTCCGTCAGCTCCGTCAGCTCCGTCAACAGCACAAGCAGCCTCGAGGCTGTGCCCTTCCGCCAGGCTCCCCTCGGCAATGTCCGCCTCGGATTCGGTGGCGCAGGTGCTAGCTTCCGCAACGCTGGTCGGCGCAACAATCCGTACGGGCCTCTCGCCATGGCCACACAGCCTCACTCGAGCCAGCAAGATTTCGCCCAAGCTCCACAAAGCCATCACAACGACATCTCCGCTGCTAGCATCGACCTAATGGCTCCTCCGATGTCCGACTCGACTCCTTTAGCGCCTGCGGATGCGACAGCAGCTCCTAGAGCTTCCACGTCTGACCGACATAGGGGCGTTCCCAAACCAGCCTCCGACGCCTGGATGTATCGTGTCGGGCCCGGTATGCGCACCAACAAGCCCAAGGCGCCTTCAGTAGCCCCTGAAGAGCCGTCGGATCCCTCGTCCGAAGATCTTCAGTCGTCTTCGTCTGCCGCCAAGCGCTCTCGAGACGTGCTGCGCCAAAAGTTTGGCAAAGGAGCTGGCCGACTAGGAATCAAGGCCAACATCGTCACTGGCCTGGGCCCAGCGGCCTCTGACCTATCCACAGCATTCAATCCGCTCGATAGCTCCGAGGACGAGCTCAACTTGGTCCCGCCCATGCGCACGCCCCTGCCGCGCAGCTCGAGCTACTTCACAAGTGCGCCTCACACCGCTGGCTCGACCACCGGTACTCCGCTCCACCCAGCTCTCACGCCCGTTCCAGCGGATTTTCGAACCAGCTCAGTCACGCATGCGCCACTCTTCGTTCCTAAGCTTCTGGAAGACTCATATGCTGCCCAGGAGCCGGGGTTGACAGCCACTCCAGATGTGGACGAGATTCGCCCCCACACGAACTTCGATGGCGGCGCAGATACAACTGCCAATCCTTTCCTGACAGTAGAAGCAAGTGGCACCGATGCGGCTCGGAACGCTCGACGCAGGTCTTCGGCGACAAACAAGCCTGTCTTGGTACGTGCCGAGAGCAGCAGCGAGGCTTTCGTTCGCGTCGCCTCACCAGGCTTAGGCATCCAAGATCCCAGCGTCGTCGACGCATCGCCTGCCAGGCCTGCCCTATACACCCTCTCCTCTGCAAACGCGAGAGCGAAAAATACACCTGCGGCCGACTTGATTCAAGCATCGAACAGCTCTGCCTCATCTCCACAGCCTCCCACGCCTGCCGAAGTCGTCCGTATGGAAGCACAAGCCGGGATCGCTTCGCTGCCCGACTCTCCGAGCGAGCCTTCCCCGGTCCCCGCCAGCTACTCGCCAGCTGCTGCGGATGAGGCCGTGCTGATTAGAAGGACGCGCGACTTTCCGTCTCAGCCGAAGCTCCGGCGTCCCAGCAGTGGCGCGGGTAGCGAGGCGTCGCTCGGTGTAGGCTCAAGCGCTGGCACTTCACGCAGGCCCGACTCGGCTCAACGACAACGCCTGTGGTCGAACTCAAATCGACCCGCCATTCTGCGGGCTCGCACGAGCGAAAGCTCAATCAGCCGAAGAAGTCACAGCCTCGACCGCAACAGATCCTCTCCCGCCCCTCAAAGCCCCGTCGAAGGGCCGCTCTCGGATGCCTACTACGCCCGATCGGGAACGCACTCGAAGAGCAGCTCGTGCAGCACTGCTCAGGGCAACGACTCCGCAAATCGCGCGCCACCGCATGTCTCTGTCATCCTGGAGGACGACGACAGCGTCAACGGTGACCAGCTGGAGCGCTCGACCGTCCATGGCGCGGGGAAAGTGTCGCCAGCTTCCCCCGCGCCTTCTGGGCTGGATGGTGATTATCAGATGGCCCTGTCTCCGCCAAGCGCGGGAATGCTGCCTCTCGCCGTGCGTCCGAATCCCCATTCGCGGTCAGCCTCGCCGGCGTCACAGCTGGCACGCTCGCCCGAGACGATCCGAGTTGGACCATCACGCATCTCAGACTCGCTCTACGGCAGGAGTCCGGCTTCGATCTCGCTTCTGCGCAGCCCGCGTCTGCAATCGTCATCGGCCTCAATCGGCTCGGACCGTCCCAGCACGCCGTCGCAGTCTCGCACGACATCAACAAGGGGTCCCAACGATTTTCACTTTGGCGAAACGCTCGGAGAGGGGTCCTACTCTACAGTGCTCGAGGCATGGGATCTGCTGTCCGGGCCTTCGCCGAAGGATCCCTCGGTGGTCGACCCGAACGCCACTTCGGCTGCAGCTGCCATGGTCGGTAGTGAGTCGGCGCGGAAGCGTCGCCGCAGGATCGACTTGACCGGCCGCAAGTCGTATGCTGTAAAAGTGGTCGACAAGGTTCACATCCTCAAGCAGGGCAAGCAGAAATACGTTGCCATCGAAAAGGAGGCGCTCAGTCGAATGATCCAATGCCCAGGAGTCGTGACGCTTTACTGGACCTTCCAGGATCGCGAGAGTCTGTACTTCGTCCTCGAATTGGCAAGCAACGGCGAGCTGCTCAACTTCATCCGCAAGCACGGAAGCTTTGACGCGGCATCAGCTCGATATTATGCGGCTCAATTGGCCGACACGATCGACGCCATGCATCGCGCAGGAGTGGTTCACCGCGACGTCAAGCCGGAGAACATCCTGCTCGATGCCGCTCATCGCATCAAGATCACCGATTTCGGCAGCGCCAAGATTGTGCATGCCATCGGCGAGACGGATGTCCCGACCGCAAAAGCCTCGGCCGCTCCAACCCCACCTCCGCCCCAGCAGACCCGGGCTGCGAGCTTTGTGGGCACGGCTGAATACGTCTCTCCGGAATTGCTCGTCGAGAAAGCGCAACCAGCTGGCAAACCCGCCGACTGGTGGGCATTTGGATGCGTCCTCTTCCAAATGCTGGCCGGACGGCCACCGTTCAAAGGCGTCAACGAGTACCAGACGCTCCAGAAGGTGAAGAATCGGGAATTCACGTTCCCTCAAGGTTTCCCAGATGACGCGGAGGAGCTCATCAACCGCCTGCTCGTGCTCGATCCAGCAGAGAGACCTTCGGCTGCCGAGATCAAGACGCATCGCTTCTTCTCCGGCGTCGACTTTGACGCTCTCTGGCGCGTGGAGGCCCCGGAGATCAAGACGGGTCTCGTTCAGCCCGTGCCCATGCCGCCACGTCGGGAGGTTGGCAACACGAGCGATTTCAGCTTTGACGAGGGCTTTATCAGCTCGTCCGATTCGCAGGCTTACAATGGCGACACCCAGAGCATCGACAATCAGCCGCATGGGGGCGCCGGAGAGAGCTCGCTGAGTCTCGACGCGACGTCTCGGAGCGGAGCGGACGACGCCGATGACTCGGACATGTCCGACGCCAGCTCCAATGTGCGCGATCCGAGGGGCGAGCAACGCCTGCCACGACGACAAAGTGGCCTGCAACGACTGGCAGACGGATTCCAGAGCCGCTTCATTTCGAATCCTGGCGGCAGTGGCACTTCTCCGCTGCCGCAAGGGACCAACACTGCACCGAGGCGCAAGATGGCGTCGATGTCGATTGATGTAGGCCAGCCCTCCGAAAACGGCAATGGAGGTGCGAACTACACCGCTGCTAGAGGCTCAAGGCCTTTCGCACGCTCTGTCCAAGGTACGGGTGGTCTGAGCCACAGTCCGAGCCCTACCGTGCGAGAGCAGCAGTCTCAAGGAGGTGGAGATGCTGGCCTTGCGTCGGCAGTGGGACTGCAACAGAGCTGGACAGCTCTGTTACTGCCCAAGGAGCTCATGCTGTACAGCACGCCCGTGGCGCAGAAGAAGACGGGCGCCGGCAAGATGTTCACGAAGCGCCGCCAGCTGGTGCTCACCGACTTTCCAAGGCTGCTGTGCGTCAAAGAGACTGCGACGGCTCTGAAGGTCAAAAGCGAGGTCATCCTCGCACTTCCCTCCAAGGCGGGCGGCAGCGATGCGGGCGCCTCTCTGGACTCAGCTGGCAGCTCCTCGCTTACGGCGTCGCATGGCGGCGTTGCGTTTGAGAGGAGCTCGGATCGGAGAGCATCGGTGCGCCTGGACCCTGAAGGCGGCGAGGAGGACGAGGGTGCAGTGGCACTAGCGCAGGAACGACCCTTGCAGCAAGCCATACCCAACTTGCTCACTGGACTCGACTTCAAGGGCGGCAAATCTTTCACCATCCGCGTCAACAACGGGCGAACTTTCCTGTACGAGACGCTGTCTGGAGACGCCTCTGCGCTGGTGCGCTACATTCAGGAAGCCAGGAAGCCTTCGGCGTGAAGCGGTCAGTGCTGTCGCCGTCGGCACACGCTCGACGCGTTCCTGGATCTGGACAGGCGAGACAACCTGGATGGACGAAATCTGGTGTAGGCGCGGCACACGCAAAAGCTCGGAATGCAACTCATCTCCGATTTGCTCACTAGCTGGCTGGTAGGTGCGGATTCGTGGCGCACGGTTCGCAGCGCGAGCTGCGCTGCAGTGAAGCTTCGCATGCGAGGCGTCCGAATCAGCTCGTATGGACCATACCAAAGCACTTCACGCAATGTCAAGGGTTGACAGGATCACGACGCGGTTGCCGAGCTGAGCAGCGGCAGGGCGGACGGGCAAGCGAGAGTGATCTCCGCAGGCATGCTGCAGCGGACGCCGACTGGGTGCGTGTGTGGAGCTATGCGAGGGTTGAGTTAGCTTGGAGTCGGTGGGGCAGCGAGGCGCATGTGCTCATGCACGGAGGACGGGGCTCCGTTATCCCGTGCGCACATGTCTGGTCACTCCAACACCGTGTGTGTGGGGATGTTGCACGTCGATGGGATCGAGCGCGGGGCAAGCTAGTCCGGGCACAGACTGCGGAGACCAATTCCGATCAAACCTTGTTTCGCTCATGCTCTGTTGCAACGAGAAGAGGATCAAGGCGCTGAGATGGTGCGAAAAGCTAGCATGGCATTCCCAAAGTGGCAGCTGTCTCAAGGTTTCGGTCGAAAATGCGGGGATGATCTTGCCCAAGGCTACCGTACACAGACAGAAACGGAGATGGAGATGGGGCTTTTCTTATCGTGCTCGGATCTACAAGTTCCGCCACTCAGACGTGGACATGTCAGACGATGGTGGCGAGACCTTTTCTGGGGAGATCTGTGGCGGAATATGCTACTGCAGTGACTGGAGAGACCAGGCAAGTGCGGGGGTGGGGATGCGGGATGCGGGATGCGGGGATCAGTGCGCTGGAACAACGGATCGGGTGCGGCTGATACTCGGAGGAACCTTGGGCATAAATCGTTCATGCACATTCAACAGGCGAGAACGAGACCCCGCCCACCCACGCCTCTTGAGCGTTATTGAAACTTGCTCTGAATCATTCCCGTGCCTCCGAGCTCGACTCGTGCAACATTGGAAGCGCTTTCTGACGGGGCAGAGTAAAGATGGCGGATCCAGGATTCCGCCCGAGTCCGCTCGCTACGGGGATGGCCGTTGCGGCCGGTAGGATGGAACGACAGGTTTGCGAGTACGAGCGGAGGGCAATTGTTGTGTTGTGCGCAGCGAAAAGGGCGTCGACATGAAGCTGCGGGGCGAGACTCAGCTGCGTTGCTCGATGCCTGCCGAGCGGCGCGCGCCGCGGCCGAAGGGGAATTGAGAGACCAGACCCAGGATTGGAGCGCATCCTTTTCGACGCCTTACGCGACACGGGTGCAAAGTTCAGCCGAAATCTTGCCTTGAGCTGCATGCATGATCCGCCTGTGCTGCCGCTGCACTGACGGCACTTTTTTTTTCGTCGTCGCGACTTCCCTGCATGGCTGAAGCGCCTCAGCAGAGTGTTGTCACCCTTCCCTCACCGCTCGAGAATCTGTGTCACTCCTGCCTCACCACCCGAGCCGTACTGGCCTTCTCACTAAGCTGCTGAGACACTTGGATCGAAAGTCAGCTTTCGTGTAAACTATGACAAAGGTGGGGTGAGGATGTGCGGGAAAGTGGGTTGGGTGAAGCGTGGGTTGGCCTTGTGGTACGCGTGGGCGATTGCGGTACGAGAAAATGCAGGGCGCCATAGGCGAGCCTCGCTGAAGCCACAGTTGCGCCAACCGAGGTGTCGACACTGACAACGCGGGCCGACTGAATCGCCACGCGAGGCGTTCAAATCACAAAAAGGTGGATTTGCAATTTCAGTAGCATGAGCGAGTGCCTCGGCTCGACTGGGCAAAGCGGACCTGCTTTCCAAAGCATCCATCGGTCTCTGAGATTGGCCTAGGCCTCCAATGTGAACAGCACACGATAGGCGGATCCTTTGTCCAACTCGTGCGCCCCTGCAGTATTGGTTCATCTGTGCTGCTCCGGCGTTGCCCCTGCGCTGCCCACCTTGGTTGCCTGACGGGGGAATTTCGAATCGGTCAACCAATTTCTCCGAAAAAGCTCCTTGGCTTCATGCATGCGGGCGAAAAGCACAGGAAGCCGAGAATTTTCTTACAACCAGCTGCAGCTCTTGCCTGCGTCTCTCTTGGTAGCTTTCAGATGCGCTCGATGAGACCTCTTGGAGAACACGACGTCATGAAGACTCCATCGTGTGCTCTACGCGAAGGAGAAACATAGGAATGAGGTCCAGTTTGTTGTACGACAGCATGGCGACTCAGGCACACGTGAACACGTATTTTGCTCGATCCCAGCTTAAAAAATTTGAGGGTCTGATCGTCATGCGTCTGCGGCTGAGGTTGCGACCGAAACGCGCCAACCTACGGCACTGGACCCCAGCGGAGAATTTTCGTCGAAATTTCGCTGCATCCTCGCTCGGCTTCGTCCGAAACCGAATCTGAATCGTCCTTGGAGATCGCAGGCACACGAGCAGTTGGCGATCTGCTGCAGATGGTTTTGAATCCTGTCCCTTCCGAAACTTTGGGTGGGCTTCCAAGCCATGGCCGGAGCAGTCTCGACCGTCTTACAGCAGCCATGACACTGTGCTCATCGCCGCTTTCTCTGGATTGGATGGCATGACATCCCGAAACGGGCCCACTTTGATTCTCCCCGGCGACGTGTGGCTTGACCGGTCGAACTATGGCCGATCCTCGCATTGAGCCTCCCTCCTTGCTGCTTGGCGGTGATCCGTGCTGACGAGTTGTGCCCGCCTCGTTGCCAAGGACATGGCAGTGCGTCTCTGACCCCACAAGCATGCTTTCTGACTTGGATGTAGCATCCAGTCTCGATATGGACGAGGCGGGGCCCAACATGGCTCTGTGGAGAGCATGTCGGGGTCATCGCTCTGCCCCACGGGCCCCCCAAATTTTTGCAGAGGCACGATTGGACGACGGCGATGCGCATGGCGATGACAACTGACCGGCGACTCGCGGGACCTGGTACCTGCAGCTCGATCCATCGTGCCCTGACCTGTATGGTCAGCCCTTGCGTACTGTATACAGAATGTGTCCGATCCCTTCCGGTCGTGTCGGACATCTCGGATCAAGCTCAGAGCTCCAGAATCATCTTGTCTTGGCTGCACCTGTGCAGTCAAAGCGTATCCGTGCCTTACGCCTGTAAACACGAGGCCGTCATCTCTGTCCCTTGCTCCCGTAACGTCCGCTTCGGCTTTTTCTAGCAAGGTGTCGACCGTAAATCCTCCGATCGACCAAAGAAATACAATCGCTCGAGATCTTCGTCTTCCCATCGCCTTGCACTTCTCGTTGCCTCAGCCTGCGCCCAAGGACAGCTACACCGAAGTGCTGTTACAGGTGCGAGAGACAAGGTAGAGACCGTTCCGACTGTGCACGTCCAGAGCGTGTCATTGTGCGAAGTGGGATTCCGTGAACCACACAGAGAGACCCTCTTCCCCCCCAAAAAAAAACAAAACACACCGAAAATTCGAATTCCGCAAGCAGCTCGGAGAAAGGAGCTGCGCGGCTGAAACATTACGACCGACGGTGGGCCAGCCGAATTTGGCCAAACCTGGGCATGGGTGGACGCGTCGAGTTTGACTGGCGGGGAGGCGAGGAGGCAGGACCACGAGGTCGTGATTGCAGAGGTTGGGGGTTGCCCACCCTCTTGGCCATCTAAGCGAGGCCGATGTTCCCCCGCGACAGGCGTGCTCGACGGTCCCGTGGCAGCGCCTGAGCCCTGACGGTGATTGCTGCGTCGACTGCTTGCCGACGGAATACAGGGCGAGTGCCTGTCCCGACCAGCGCTCGCGGCTGGCAGGCGATTTACGGTCGAAAGAACCGATCATCTCCAAATCTCCTGGTGTGAGTGCAGTGCAGCGGTTTCGTCCTTCTTCGGTAGTTTTCCTGATCTGCGCCCTGCCTGTTGCTGTCGCCTGCTTTTGCCAGCTCACGTTGACCAGCTTCGACGCCGATGCGACAATTGCGGCCCAAAGAAATTTGTGGCGTCTCGATATCGAAACGAATTGCCGTAGCGCTCGCCAGCTTGGCAGTCCCCGCAAAGGGCTCCCCTGCTCGAAATGGCGGGACGAGCTGCTTCCAACAGCTCGGCTAGGCGCTTTGACTTGGCAGCGAGGCTCGGATCCAACAAATCGACCGTCGCAATGGGCGGTGGCAAAAAGCGAAGTTCGGTGCAGTCAAGCTGGACGTGCGAGCGAGCGGCAGTCCAGCCGAACGGAAAGACTCGCCGTGACCCAAGCCAGCCGGTGATGCCGGGAGGTGGCTCGTGCATGCACCCCGATTTGGGGCATCTGTGACGGACCTGCGAGCGAGACGAAAGTGACAGAAGCACCTGTAGGGTGCCGTTGCAGTGCAACTCGGCCATCAACTCCCGGTCGCTAGCACGGCTGCCCCACTGCGGAGAGACAGAGGGCCCCGCGGGGCGGGCGCAGCGGTGGCTGCGTGCACTCGGCAGTCGGCAGCTTCAATGCAAAGCAGGAACCAAGAGCTGCGCATCCCTACACGCCTGCGAGCACAGCAAGCCGAATCGAGCTCTCATAGGCTAGCACTCAACACATGGAGGGTTTGCACTTTCTGCTGACCGGCCGATGGGATTGCCGTCAGAAGAATTGGGACCAAGATGGCTTGTCGCCACGGCTCAAAATTCGAATGCTCCAATGGCCTCAAACTCAAGCTTTGACACCGAGCGCAGCGGCGCGCCGTTCTGCGGCGCACGCTCAAAGGGCCCTCTGTCGATTGAGCGCAGAGAGAGAGAGAGAGTGAGAGCGAGAGGGGGACGGGCTTCGAGGAGAAAAACAGGCGGCGCAGAGTCGATGAGGGTAGCAACAAGAGAGACCAAAAAAATCCGGGCGAATGAGCCAATCAAATGCGTCGGAGACTGAATAATCTAGGCCTCAGGTCGACGCGTGCCAAATCAAACCTGGGTAGTCTGGGTCCCCGCTTGTTGCATGCCCGCACCAGAGCGAGGGGGCGCGTCGCTCCACACCGTCCCCACGCTTGGCTTCCAGTCTGCCCCAGGGCCGAAAGGCCACCGGCGCATGGCCCCAGCCCTCCAGCCAGGTTTGACTGCCCGAGTGGCCGTCAGACGGCTTATTGTCCGAAGTTGGTTCGAATCTCCTCCGCGCCAGTGCGACAGTGCGCCTGGAACGCTCAGACGATTCGCCCTTCCTCTGTTCTCTTTTTCCTTTTTTGCCCCGCGTGCGTGGCTCGCTTGGCTGGTGGTCGTCGAACCTGCATTTCGCCCCCGTGGCCAGCCCATCCCTCATCCTCCAGGTCCGGGCGTCTGCGCTCCGTTTGGGGTCCCCAGTGTGTTGATTGGATGTTGGCAGTCCTGCTCTGCTGGGGTGCGTCGCGCGCAGCCGCGTTGCTACCCAGGACTGGGCCCCCTGGCCGAGGCCAGAATGGCTATCCCCATGCTCGCTGTTGTTCATTCGCCTGGCTCCATGCCCGCATGTGGGCGCAAACCGGCACTCTGCCCCTCTGCCCCTCGTCGTTTCTTTCTCATTCTTTTTTTCTTGCCCTGCTGGCCTCGCTGCACCTGTCGCTGTGCGGTACAGCACAGCTAGCGGCGCCGGTGTGGCGCGACTTTTTTTTTTTTGCCCTTCGAGCAGCCCCCCACCACCAACCACACGCGAGCCCCAACCTCCCCACTGGCTTCGGACCCTTGGCCATCGTCTACATAAACCCCCCCGGACTCGCTCCATCTCCATCACTTTTTCCCCATCCTCCGTCAAGGCTTTCTTCTTCCCCTTCAAGGCAGCCTCTTCCCCTACTACCTTTCCCTCCTCTCACCCTTACCTCTCTCTTCTCTTCAAGATGGCTGGAGGTGCTGTTGCCGATGTCGGCTTCACCCCGGCTGGCCCTGTGGCCCGCCCTGCGAGCGTGAAGCAGTCGCTCCCTGCGATCCTCGTCGCTGCCGCCTCCGCCTTTGGCGGTGTGCTGTTCGGTTACGACACTGGTACCATCTCCGGTCTGATCGTGATGCCGAACTTCCAGGAGACTTTCGGCAAGCCTGTCCCGGGCAGCACTACTGGCGCCTACGCCTTGACCACCAACGACGAGTCGCTCGTTGTGTCGATCCTTTCGGCTGGTACCTTTGTGGGTGCCTTGGCCGGTGCGCCCATCTCGGATATCCTTGGTCGACGATGGGGTATGCAGGTCGCTCTGCTTGTTTTCACCATCGGCGTGGTGATGCAGATGGCCACCACGGACCTTGGTGTCTTCATCGGCGGTCGTGTCGTTGCAGGTCTCGGTGTGGGTATCCTGTCGACCATTGTGCCCATGTACCAGTCCGAGACGGCCCCTCGCTGGATCCGCGGTGCGGTGGTTTCCGGTTACCAGTGGGCCATTACTATTGGTCTGCTTTGCGCCTCGCTCGCCAACAACGGTACGCAGAGCCGCAATGATTCCGGCGCGTGGCGCATCCCCGTCGGTATCCAGCTTGCCTTTGCCATTCTTCTTTGCGGTTTCTTCCTGATTCTTCCTGAATCGCCTCGTTGGCTCGTCAAGAAGGGCAACCACGAGCAGGCTTCCAAGTCGCTCGCTCGCCTCAACTCGACCGATGTTGACGACCCCATCGTCCGCTCCGAGCTGTCGGTCATCCAGACCAACCTGGACCTCGAGCTCACTCACTCCACCGGTTCCTACCTCGACTGCTTCAAGAACAACGACCGAAAGTACCTTCTTCGCGCCATGACCGGCATCTTCATCCAGGCTTTCCAGCAACTCACTGGTATCAACTTCATCTTCTACTACGGCACCAAGTTCTTCAAGTCGGCGCTTCCCGGCACCAACCCCTTCATCTTCTCGGTCATCTCCAACGTCGTCAACGTCGTGACGACCGTCCCGGGCATGTACATGATGGAGCGCCTCGGCCGCCGTAAGCTGCTGATCTTCGGCGCCGTCTGGATGTGCGTCTGCGAGCTGATCGTGGCCGTCGTCGGTACCGCCGTGCCCGTCAAGAACCTGGCCGGAGGCAAGACCGCCGTCGCCTTTGTCTGCATCTACATTGCCGGTTTCGCCTCGACCTGGGGCCCTGCCGCCTGGGTTGTCTGCGGAGAGATCTTCCCCCTTGCCATCCGTGCCAAGGCGCTGTCGCTCTGCACCGCCTCCAACTGGCTCTGGAACTTTGGTATCGGCTATGCCACCCCTTACCTCGTCGATGTCGGACCTGGCAAGGCCGGTCTCGGTCCCAAGGTGTTCTTCATCTGGACCGGTACGTGTGCCTGCTGCGCCGTCTTTGCCTACCTGTTCATCTACGAGACCCGTCTGCTGTCGCTCGAGGAGGTCGACGAGATGTACGCCCAGACCACCGCCATCAAGTCGCCCGCCGCCAACGCCGAGATCCGCGCTCGTCGCTCGGACCTCGAGGGTGCTGTCGCCCCCGTCAAGGAGGACGAGCTCGCCACCCACGACGAGAAGAAGTACTAAATTGCTTCTCTCACGCAGCTGTCACGATTCCACGCTGGATCTGTGGCGCACGCGCCTCTGATCCCATGATCTTGTGATGCCAGCATGCCTCATCTACAAATCAAACTAGTCACGGATACACACGAATAGTCACTCTGGTTCTCCAGCACCACAAATGCAGTTCCGGGGCTCTTGCCCGGCTCGGCTTGTCTCAAAATTGTTTTCGATGACAATCTCATACCCATCTTCTCCATTTCTTCGGCTGCTTTCCTTGAGTATGAGTGTTGCCCGAGACAGTCCTTGGTCGTACGACTGAGTCGAACATTTGGACTGACAGAGCGAGCGGAATTCCGTTCGGAAGACGTGAATGCTCTCCGCTGAACTCGACGGCTGCTTGAGCTTGAGCCAGAGTAAGGCGCGCTGTCAATGGCTGCGCCCGCGTCTCATCCTGCGCTTGATCTTGTCTTCGCCTTTGTGACCTTGTCATCCGTCCTGACTCTCATCTTCTCAACACGCATGTGCTGGCAACATGAGGTGCGACTGTACGTCATTGAACCCACCAATACACCCAGGATTCCTTTCGAGGTTGGTGGGATGAGCGAGCGCAACATCACATTGCCGTCCGTCCGACCCCGAGCTCAAATGAAGTTTTCCCCCACAGTTGCGCACCGCATGACGCAGGAGCGCCAAGCCTCCTTCCTCACCCCCCACCAATGCGCACACATGTAAACACAAGCGCGCTTGCGCAACCTTGCTCCAGACTCGCCATTGTCTGTTGATGGAGAATGCATTTCGCCAGACCATTGACGATGGCAAAGGGAGAGAGTTCATTCGGCCCACTGGACCCGCCAAATCCCCCACCAATTTCCTCGTTCCCACCCACCGGCTTCGCGGAGGACGCGAATGGTGCGCGGTTGCGCACCGTTCCGGTGCACGGCGGGCATGCATTCCGCAGCATCCGCAACGAGCCTCTCCAACTCGCCGGCGCGGAACATGTGGTAGTACCGGTTGTACACGGGCCGTGATTCGTCGGCATCCTTCGCAGGCTGTTCTGTGCTCGTCGAGCCTTCTCCGACGCTAAGCTCGGACACGCGCGCCTCGAGACTGCGCGTGTCGACACCTGTGGTCGCACTGTCTTTCCGAGTCTTGGCTTTGGCTGCGCGAGGAGCCTTGGGCTTCTTGCTCGCCTTCGGCCCAGGCGTGGTGAGCACCCACGGCACCAGCACATCCTGGTCGTCAGTCACGCGCACTTGGTCTGCTTCCGCTTCCGCTTCGTCTGGATCCGCCACCGGCTCACACGGCTGCGCGCTCGCTTGCAGACCGCTGTACGAGACCAGACGCTCCTTGGCCTTGTTCCGCAGCGGGTCGTGGATCTCTGGCCGGCTCTTGAGCGACTCGGGGTTGGATGCCTCGAATTGGCGCTTGCCCTCGTCCTTCTGCTCGAGCGCCCAGACAAAGATCATGAACCGCCCTCGACCGTAGCTTCCGTGCAGGCGAGGGTCTACCTCTTTCTCGTTTCCGGAGCTGGAATTAGCCTGGCTGTCGGCAGCAACGGGCGCAATGATGCGGATGAGCTCTTGCACCGACGCGCGTCTTCGCTCCCAGGTGGAAAAGTGGTGGATGGTGGCAATGCTGATCGCATAGTCGAATAGACCTGTTCGCAACGACGACTGGATGGCATCTCCGACAGCCACCTCTTGGCGTCTTGTGCCCTTGGCCTCGCTTGCCTCCTGCGCACGACTGCCGTCGAGCATGCCGAAGTTGTTGCGGGCCAGACCGACCAGGTTCGACGAGCGATCGACTCCGACAGTGAGTAGACTGTTACCTTCCTGGTCCTCCTTCGAAGAGGTTGCGGTCAGGCCGAGCGTCGAGCGAATGGGGAGGTACTTGCCATTGCCACAGCCGAGATCGGCGCCCAAGCTGCCTGCAGGCACGGTGCCGAGAAACGCCGGGACGAGCGGCCACGGCTTGTATCGCGTGCTTGAAAAATGCGGCGCAATCGTTTCGTAGATCCTGTATCAGATGGCGAAGCACTCATGAATCAGTCTCACACCCGATCGCAAGCACAAGACGCCAAGGCCTCGAAGGAGCGAGAGCTCGAATTGCATCTCGGCGGTATGTGGGCGAGGCTACGCACTTACGCATGGACGTTCTGCTGCTCGTAGGAGAGCGGGTCAAAGGCTGCCTGCCCCGACTGCGCTGTTGGCTCAGGCTTGGGGATGCGCACACCCAGCTGCTTTTCGGCCCAGCCGACGAGGCCGAGCACCACATCTTCGAGCGAGTCCAGGCCCGAAAGCCCGGCAGCGATCGCCTGCGCCTCATCCGACGCACTTTCGAGACGAGCGCCCTTGGCAGACGCCTGTACTGCAGATGGCACGTTGGCGTCCGCCTCGAGCAGCCATCCGCAACCAGCGGATGCTTTCGAGGGCGAGATGGACGCATCAAAGACGACCGTGCTTCCATCGTCGGTCGGCGTGCGGAAAGCCAATTGCAAGCTGAGCGTTTGCCGCGCCTCTTCCGCAGCGTCGGCTATCGCGACACGGAATGCAAGGGTGACCGGGATGCGCGTCGGGCTGGAGTCCGTGGCGGCGCCCAGCAGGTCATCGAGGGACAGCTCGGCGGACCCGTTCGCTTTCGAGGCGGCCTGGGTCGGCTCGTCCGGCTTCGTGGCCACAGCTGCATGCATGAGCTCGGTCACCTTGACTTCATCCCTCAAGATCTCGATGGCGGCAAAGAGTCTGGCCAGCGTCGATGTTGCCCGGTTTGCGGCACCAGCTCCGTCGGCACTATCGCCGGCTGCGTTCGTCGAGGCCAGAAGCGGCAACGAGTCAACAACAAGACCTTGCGACTGAGTGCTGCGGACACTCTCGACCGTTTGGGCAAGCGTAAAGATGCATCGTCTGGGCTTCTGTTCCTCGTTCACAGGAGATTGCTTAGTCCTTTCGGCCCAAGAGGAAGCGAGGACGTATTCGAACCAGGTTGCGCCTGCAGATGCAATGACAGGAGCAGCGGCAGTGCTGCCACTCGACGTGGTCTCCTTAAGGTTGCAAATTGCGGCCAGCTTGGCCGCGGTGGGTCGAGTGACAACTACGGGCGGAGAAAGGCGCACGACAAAATGCAACGGAACACGCTTTCCAGCATCTACCGGCGAAGGGACGGAGCCTAGCGAGGTCGCGGGGTCCTTGGCCGATGAGGAGTGCAACACCTCCTCTGCCTGCGGTGTCAGAGCAAAAGAAGGCTTGATCGTCTTAGCGTTGGCGGGATCGGCCGACGGGAGATCAAGCGCCTGCACTCCCAGTGAGAGTGTGTATTCCTGTCCTGAAGTGGGGTCTCGGGCGAAGACGGCGTGGAGGAAGGGCTTGGCGGCGTGAAGCTGGTGAAGCCCATGCCCACGATCGAGAACGGCGTCCGGGTTCGAAGACAAAGATTCCGCTTCGGATACTCTCGCCGCGGCCGAGCAGAGATCCTGCATGGCAGCGAAGAGATCAGTGCTTCTTGCTTGGTCGGCGGAAGCCTCGGTGGCTCTAGCCTCGAGGGCATCCAGGGCGAGAAGGTCGGTGAGATTGGCGGTCCAATTCGCCAGCGCTTGAGCAACCGTAGAGCGATCCTGGTCGATCGCGCCCAGCTCGTCTTTACCAAACAGCTTGTCCGCAATCGTCTGAATGTCAGTCTCTAGAACCAAGCCCAGACGAGAATCGCGCACGTGTTGCGAGTCTGCAGAGTCGGTAGCATAGGACAACTTCAACTTGATCCTTGGGCGGAGGCTTGCATCCGAGCTGCTGCCTTCAAGGAGAAATTCGACATCGATGACGAGGATCTTGGCTCCGAGTGTCAGCGTGCGTGTTAGCACACCTGTCGGGCCTGGTGTTGTAGGCTCCCCTGCCGCTTCTGGAGCCGGGTCGGAGAAGGTTTCGAGCCCGAGCTTACTAGCCGTGTGCTCTAGTGTGCTGCACAAGGCCTCAAGAGTCTGCAGAGCGTCGGTCCAACTCGAAGGTGGAGCCGCAGATTCGCCTTTACGAAAGGCTCCAGCTTGAAGAGACGGAGGAAAGGCGAGGGAGGAGCCGAGCAGGCCGTTGGTCGAAGTGCCAAAGTCTCGTTGAGCCTTGAAGGGAGCAATGGAGTGTGCGAGCGCCGTGGTGTGCGTCGATGTTTCGGCCAAGAGAGAGATGTACCGACGCAGCTGGTTCGCAGCCGCCTCGTCGCTAGGTTGCGGCTCATCCGAGGATGCTGATGCGGGTGCTCGGAGTGCTGGAGTGGTGGCTGCAAACTGCGAGACAGAGCGGCGGATCTGCGAGATGAGCTTCCGGTACTCGTCTCGGGACAGCCGGCCCTCTGCGCTAGATGCCGAGTAGAGTGACTGTGCGGATGCATTCAGAGGATGGATGTGCGCAGCTGCTTTCGCTTGGCGGTCCAGGCTCTGTTTGGCCTCGTGCAGCGCGTCATACAGCGGTTCTTGCGGCGCCGCAGTCGCATGCTCGGTTGTGCTCGCAGCCGGAAGAGCCGAGGTAGATGCTTCCCCCGGCATGACCTCTCCAGCAGCTGCGAGGCCGCTCGGAGCTTCCGGCGCCATCTCGACCTCGTGTGGATCTTGCATTGGCGATGGCTGGTTTGAGGCGTAGAAAGCGTGTCGAGAAAGGCAGCCAAGAAGGGCTGATGTACAGGGAGCCCTTTCTCAAAAAAGTTGCCCACGGCCGCTTTCTTCGGAATTCGCCCTTCGGCCTCGTGCTCAAGCTGTGCCTGCAAAATCGCGATCTCACGTCCGTGCGGTGCTCGACTGCCGAGGCGCCTCCACGAGACCAACACGCCCAAACGCCTGCTCGTTGCCGATACCCCTCAGCGATCCATCTCACCCGTCCCTGCAAAACCTCGACCCTCTCCCATCACCACTCTGGGTCACCCCGGAACTTCGCTGCCTTTGCTCGCGCCGCCGTATCAGCAGCTGGCGTCTGCCTCCGTTTCGGTCCCCACGCCTCCATTCGCCGACTGCGGTTGGGCAGTGAGTGATTCCTCCACAGTCACAGCCACAGCAGTTTTGTCCGGCACACGGCTGCACTCGTCGCCATCGGCATGCCTCCGACAGCTGAATACAGGGCGCCCTGGCCAGTTTTTGCGCTGGCATGGTCAAATCATCCGTCTACCTCCTCGCCCTCGTCCTCGTCACAACACCTGCGCAATCCATCCGGCTCGGCACGGTACGTCCCGCCTTCGCCCTCACCGCTAGGACGCCACGACGAGTTTGGTGGACCGCCAGCTTCAAGCACGCCAGGACCTCCGGAAAGCGCTAGAATAGCCGTGGGCTCCTTCGTCGAGCAATATACCAACCGCATCCAGATCCTCGGCTTCCATCCACACGACTCATCCTCCCTCACCCTCTTGGCCGATGCATCACACCCGTATCCTCCAACGAAACTGGGCTTCCAGCCATCAACCCTCTTTGATGGCTCATCCAGCGAGCGAAGAGACAACTCGCTCGACAGAGAGTCCGGCTCCGGTGACCGCGGATATGCGTCGCCCACCACCAAGCTAGCCAAACGCGGCAGCTGGGGCGCCAAAGTACGCTCCTCTCTCTCTTCAGAAGGTGGCGAGGGACCAGATCACTATCCAGATAGAGAGCTGCTCGCAAGTACAGCCGACTGTCTGCGTATATGGGAGATCCATCGCAACGAATTCGCCGATCCCTACCAAGCCGGTTACGTCGGTGGAAATACGGCCGGTGCGTCTAAGGCGGATTCACAGCAGCTGCCCTTCGCCCTGCGCGAAAAGAGCGTCTTGGCGCACTCCAAGAACACAAAGAGTCCACCTGCTCCGCTCACCTCTTTCTCGTGGAACACACCTTCTCCGAATCTCATCGTCACATCGAGCATCGACACCACCTGCACGATCTGGGACTTGCCCACGCGCACAGCGTTAACGCAGCTCATCGCACACGACCGCGAAGTATACGATGTCGATTGGTGTCCAGGCTCGGCCGATGTCTTCGCCAGTGTAGGCGCCGACGGAAGCGTGCGTGTGTTCGACTTGCGAAGCCTCGAGCACTCGACCATCATCTACGAGACTGGGACAGCACCCGGCGCGACCGAATCACGTCCAGGCACCAGCATGTCGACATCTTCCAGGGCGACTTCGACACGCAGCGTGCCGGCCGCCCCTCTACTCAGGATCGCCTTCAACCCATGGGACGCCAACTACCTGGCCACCTTTCACCTCGAGTCCGACTCGGTGCAGATCTTGGACGTCAGGGCACCCGGATCGCCCATTCTTGAGCTGCGCGGCCACTCTGCAGCGGTCAATGCTATCGCATGGGGCCCGCCTTCGGTCGGCGCCGGAGTGCTCGGTCCAAGCAAAGGCATGGTATGCTCGGCCGCCGATGACGCTCAAGTGCTCGTTTACGACCTGGCGTCCACCACGCTGCGCACCGCATCGGCACAGGGCAGGCGCAGCAGGAACGGCCATGCGCCCTCGCCGGCGCCCGGCTCAATGGGCTATTCGCACTCGACCTCTTCCTTCGGCGGCACAGCCAGCCCTGCGCCCACCGCCAGCCTGGCGGGCAGCATCGGCATCGGTGCCGAGATCCCCTTCCTCGCCTACACCACTCCGAATCAGGAGATGGTCAACAACGTCTCGTGGCTCCGCGCCGGCGGCGGCGGTCTTCCTCCTGGTGTGGGAGGCTTTGGCGGAGGCGGAGGCTCCAGCGGCAGTAAGAGCGTTGTGCAGGAGTGGAACGAGTTCACAGCGGGCAGCAGCGGCGGTAGCACTTCCGGGTTTGCACCTCACGATTCGGATTGGATCGCGCTTGCAGCAGGAAACTCTGTGCGCGCACTCAAGGTCTAGTCTGTCGGCCACGAGCCGCCCAAAGTCGATGCAGGCTGCTCCACGTCTCATACCCTGAAAGCCACGCATGGCGATTCCACGCCAGCCGAGGCCGATAGCTGGCTCATCGGAGAATACAACCTTTCTATTCCAGGACATACACTCGAAGAGCCGCGTGGAATTGAGTCAGCTGCACCATCTTTTCACTTATCCTTGTCGTCTTTCTTCTGCGCGTCGTTCTTGGCATCGCCAAACTTGATCGCCTGGGATCCAAACGAGAATGCGCCCGGCTTGGACGCGGTGGATGCCGAGAGGTTGGCAAAGTTGCTCGACGTGCCCGATGGCGAAGAAGCGCCGAACGAGAAGGTGGGTGCTGCGTTCGAGCTGGACGATTGCGTGCCGAAGGACGATCCAAAAGCGCCTGCTGGCTTGCTTCCTGTAGCTGTTCCAAACGAGAAGGCAGGCGTCTTTGTCGAGGTCGATGTCGAGTTGCTCGCTGCAGACGATCCAAACCCGCCAAAAGCGGGAGCCGCTTCCTTGGACGAGCTAGAAGAGATGCCGCTGCCGAAAGAAAAGCTGGGCGCAGTCTTGGCAGCTGGGGCAGCGGGCGCGGCAGAGTCGGTGGCTTTGCCGAACGAGAGGGAAGGAGCGGCTGTCGTCGCAGGGGGTGCCGAATCCTTCGGCTTGCTGGCAGCAAAGTTGACCGGCTTGCCGCCAAACGAGAAGCCACCCGAGTTGGTGGGAAGGTCTAGCTTGGGCGCACCAGGCATGTTGCGTGCTGCGTCGGCCTTGCCCTTGTCCTCATCGGCCGAAGAGGTGCTGAGCGGCTTGCCGCCGAACGAGAAACCACCGCTAGGGAGCGAGAACGACGGCGGCTTGGCGGCTGAGCCTGATGCCGACGCGCCGGCCGATCTGGAAGCGGTCTCCACCACCTCGACATCGTCATCATCGTTGTCGTCTTCGTCGTCTTCTTTATCGTCCTCCTCGTCGATCTCATCCTCCTCCTCGTCATCATCCTCTTCGTCCTCTTCGTCGTCTTGGTCCTCGTCGTCCTCATCTTCATCCTCGCCTTCATCGTCCTCGTCCTCGTCTTCTGCGTGATCGCTAGCGGCCTGTGTGGAGTCTGCTGCTGCGGGCTTGCTCGATGTGATCGAAGATCCAAACGAGAATGCCGAGGGTGTGCTGCCGGACGGCTTTGTGGAGGTCGACGACGGCAGCGGCGAGAAGGAGAAGCCGGAGGTGGCTGGCTTGGCGGCGGTGCTGCTCGAGCCGAATGAGAAGGACGGAGTAGTAGCAGGAGCTGCAGCCGTCGTCGCCGCGGATTTTGGCGTCTCTGCAGGTTTGCCAAAGCTGAAGCTCGGCAGAGAAGAGGAGGAAGCTGGCGAAGACGATGGTGCCGCGGTGTTGGCAGACGTGCCATTGCTCGAAGGCTGGAACGACGGGGCACCTGCGGAGAGCGCGGAGGCGGGCTTCTTGTCTGCTCCTTCTCGATGCTTGCGGTACTGATCCTTGAAGGAGTCAATGAGGCTGGAAAGGTCGGCGAAAGGGTCGGCGTCGAGCTGTTCCTTGATCTTCTGGGCCAAAGTCGTCTGGAACGAGAGGTTCAGACCACGAAGGGATCTGAGCCTCTCTTTGGCTGCAGAAGAGTCGGAGCCGGAAGCGCCGTTGGCCGCAGAGGTCGATGCTGGTGCAGCAGAAGACGTAGACGAGCCGCCGACGATGCCGGCAATGAAGTTGGAAGTCTTTGAGGGCGTCGTTGAGGCGGGAGCGGCTGGAGACGAAGATGGGGAGGCAGCTGACGGAGCGAAGGAGAAGGATGGCGAAGAGGTGGCAGCTGTCGATGCAGTCGTTGCGCTCGTCGACGAGGCGGCAGGCTTAGCGGCACCAAAGCCAGTGAATCCGCCGAACGGATTGGCCTTTGCGGGTGGTTGAGAGGCGTTCGTGCTGGCACCGGTCGAAGCGCCGAAGCTGAACGTTGGTGGTGGCGCAGCGGCAGCTGGCGCTGGACTCGCTGAAGAGGTTGCGCTGCCGAATCCAGCGCCTCCACCAAGGCTTGCGAAGGGGTTGGCGCCACCGGCGGATGCACCGAAAGGTGACGAGGACTGCGCAGCGCCAAACATGGACGAACCAGCCGCGGGAGCTCCTGGTGTTCCGGGAGTGCCCCTTCGTTTGGGAAGCCCCCGAATGACACGTCCGGCAGCGGGCGTGGCTGGCATGGAAGATTGTGAAGACGGCGAGTCGTCATCGGATCCATCGTCGCCGTCCTCCCTGCGAATCTGTTTTTCCGCTTGGCGCTTCATTGTTGTTGAGCTCGCGCTTCTGTGGTTGGCCTTACCGTAAGTTGATGCGAACGCGAGATGTTCTTCGAGAGCCGCTGGGAACATTCAAGATGGTTGGCAACGTCGAGACGATCAGTGAAGCCAGCGACGAGGCCGCACGGTCGCCGCCTCGTCTCGAAATCTTCCCACTGCGCCCCGATGGGATCGGATGCCAAACTAGCTTGTCTAGGATCGCCGATTTGTTTGTTCGTGTTCAAATTTGCGTTGTTTCTGTAGCGGAATCCAACACCTCATACTCGCCCAAACCATTCCAGTCAATCCGCAGTATTGCCGCAGCACTTGTTCTCGGATCCGAAAATTCGAACCTTTTGACCCGCGAACCAGGGAGGAAATTTACGAGGGGCAGCGCAGGGCAGACGAGCGGGCCCAGTGGCTGAGAGGAGTCCTCGGCGCAGGGCGAGCGGCGCCAGACTAGGCGAGAGAGATTGATCCTGACCTTCCTTCTCTCCCCACCAGTCCCATCAAAGACAACGTCAAGATGAGCAAGATCCAGGTGTCCAGCGTGCGTAACACCCTCAAGGAGCTGATCCAGGCTTCGGAGGACAAGCGCCGAAACTTCAACGAGACCGTCGAGCTCCAGATCGGCCTCAAGAACTACGACCCCCAGCGCGACAAGCGTTTCTCGGGTACCGTCAAGCTTCCCCATGTGCCCCGTCCCCGCATGAGCATGTGCATTCTGGCCGACGCCGCCGATGTCGACCGTGCCAAGCTCATCAACCTCGAGTTCATGACCGTCGAGGACTTGAAGAAGCTCAACAAGAACAAGAAGCTCGTCAAGAAGCTCGCCAAGAAGTACGACGCCTTCCTGGCCTCCGAGGCTCTCATCAAGCAGATCCCTCGTCTGTTGGGCCCCGGTCTCTCCAAGGCCGGCAAGTTCCCCACCCCCGTCTCGCACAACGAGGACCTCGAGAAGAAGGTCACCGAGGTCAAGAGCACCATCAAGTTCCAGCTTAAGAAGGTTCTCTGCCTCGGTGTCGCCGTCGGCCACGTCCAGATGACCGACGACCAGCTGCTGGCCAACGTCATGCTTGCCATCAACTTCCTCATCTCGCTCCTCAAGAAGCAGTGGCAGAACATCAAGTCGCTCCACGTCAAGTCGACCATGGGCAAGGTCTACCGCCTCTTCTAAGTGGCTGTGCCATGTCTCTTTCGACTAGCTTGGAGGGCTTCCGATGAGTTCTGTTTCGGTCACTTGCATCCCACAAGGCATTTACGCACGCTTACACCCAGTTCCATTCGATGCCTCGGCTCGCGTCCGAGGAAGCGACTTGGGATGAGGGGAGCTAATCTTGTGACCTTACTCATCCATCCCCACCCTAAAATACAAAATTGCCGTTGGAGGCGCACGCCGTCGTTCGCATTAGAGCGGCGGCGGTGCTCTCTTCTGTCGGATACTTTGTGGTGTGTGCGCGTGCTTAAGTGTGGAAGTCTGGTTGGTTGTTCGCGAATTCTCCCAAGGATGCTTTCCTTTCGCACTGGACAAGCTGGACATGATGAGCGATGTGTTGTGATTTGACTAGGAGCGGGGTGGATGCAAGGGCAGGCTGGTGAACAGGCATTAGAATACAAGAAGAGCTGCGATTGGTTGCACCCTGGACGCCCCGCCGAGAATGAAAGGCACGAGGGTATGCAGCAGCGACTAGGAGTGGGTGGGGTCCTCGTTGGCGACGTTGAGCAGGAGGGTGTCGGCGTCGAGCAGCACCTTGTTGTGGGCGCCGGCCTGCGAGAGGATGGTGGCAATGTCGCGAGCCGCCTCGAGCTTTCGGAGCTTGAGGAAGCCCTTGTTCTTCTTGACGGCCTCGCCGATGAGTTCGGCGGACTTGGCCTCACCCTGCGCCTTGACGATGATCGAGGCCTTCTCCTGGATGGCCTGGTCGACGAGGAAGGCGGCACGCAGCGCGGCCTGCTGTGCGATCTGCTTCGCCTCGACGGCGTGGGTGAATTCGGGCGAGAAGGAGACGTGGGTGATGGAGACGTCGTCGAGGACGAGGTTGAAGCGCTGGGCGCGTGCGGTGAGGTTGTCGCGCACCAATCTCGACACCATCTCTCGCTGGGTGATGAGCTGGGAGGCGTTGAACTGGGCGACAACCGACTTGAGCACCTCATTCACGATCGAGGGCAGCACGCGCTCGTCGTAGTCCGTGCCGAGCTCGCGGAAGATGGTGGGGAGCGCATCGACGCGTGGACGTGAGAGCACACGGCAGGTGAGCGAGACCATCTGGAGATCCTTGGTGCCGGTGAGCGAGGCGATGCTGCGAGGCTTGGCGCGCACGTCGTAGTCGATGGGCTTCTCGAACCAGGGGATCATAAAGTGGGTACCTTCGTTGAAGATGTTCTCCTTGATACCTGACAAGCGCGAGTACTTGATGGCACGGTGACCACCGTCGACGTTGAAGAGCGACATGTTGATACCGAAGCCGAGCGCGACGAGCGCAACGATACCAGCCGAGCCGCCGAGGATGTTGGCGAGGTTGGGCGGGCCTCCACGTCCTCCTCCGCCGCTGCCTCCACTGCCTCCGCTGCTTCCGCCTGGCTTGCCTGCATTGTTGAACTGCTGCGATGCCTGCTGAGCCTGCTGTCGCAGACGCTCGAGCGCGCGGAATATGTTCTGTGGGCCACTGGGTCCGCGGTTCATGGTGCTATGGTCAGGTGGAGACGTCCACTGCGGCTGACTAGGATGATCTCGGGTGGTGCTCGAAAGCTGCTGTTCGCGAGAAGACCCTGACAAAGGAGAGACCTGTGTCGAACGCGGTAGATGGATGGGAGGCGAGAGCGATGAGGATGACAGCGACGAGAAGCGAGTGGAGAAGCGATGGCCTACAAAGGATGCTGTCGGGCCGCGCACGGCTTACGAGCCTCGACGGCGAAGAATTCTCGAGCGGTTGACCAAAGCGTGCAGCAGCCGCTCTCCAACCGCCCTCTCTCGCTCCATCCATCGCGGATTGGCTCAGCCGCCCCTCAGCCTTCTCCAAGCCTGTTGGGCTCAGCAGCAGGGTTGCAACCGCGCCGCCAAAAAGAAAGGGTCGATCACCGCTTTATCGTGCGGGTGAAGCGACGCGAAGAATAGGGTCGAGTGCGAGTCCCGACGCGAAGCTGCTGTGGATGCAAAGTCGAGCACAGACGTTGCTCCGGCTGCTCCTCGGCTCCACATCTGCACCCTTCCCTACACACCTCAGCTAGCTTCCTTCCATCCTCACCCTCTCTCGCGCCGGCAACGATGACTGCTCGAGAAGCAAGGACGGTGATTGTCATCACCGGCTCTCATACAATCACCGCCGGCTATGGCATCCACGAGATCCTCAAGCGTCCCTCCATCTCCTTAACAGCACGCGTCGGCCTTCCGCGTTCGGCCGCCTCCGGATCCTCGAGCTCGTCTTCGCCTCCCGACTACTCGCAGTACCTGGTCGGATCTGCGCTCGACGAGGCTGAGCGTCGCGGCGATGACCTCGCCATCTTCTGGCCCATGCGCAAGGGCTACGTTCGCGACTGGCAGCAGATGATCGCGCTGTGGAACTACGTGCTCTTCCACCTCTTGCCCATCCGTCGCTCGCACAACGACTCCAACGTGCTCATCAGCTTGCCGCTTCCCATCTCGCGTGCAACACACGCCTACCTTACCCAGATCTTCTTCGAGCACTTCAACTCGGCAGCCATCACGATCGCCGAGAAGCCGCTGCTTTCGTGCTATGGCGTAGGCACCATGAACGCGTGCGTCGTCGACCTCGGTTACGAGAGCTGCGACGTGACCCCGGTGATCGAATGTGTCGTCCAGTCCAACGCCAACGTCAAGACCGACGTCGGTGCGCGCCACTGCATTCTCTACCTCGCCCAGCTCCTCCGCCGCGATCAGAGCGTCGCCAAGGCGGTTCAGACGCTGCTCCGATATACCCGCAAGGCCGCATCGGCAACGCCACGTGAGAACGACGACACGGCTCTCAGAAGCGCCATGTTCTCGCTCGCAAGGCAGCTCGTCGAAGAAGGATTGGTGCTCGACGAAGATGCGGTCAAGAAGGGCGCTGGTGGCCTGCTTTCCGCCGCCGACGGCGAGGACGAAGAGGGCAACTTTGACATCGCTGCTGTGCTCGTGGACGGTGCCAAGAAGCACGACGACGAGGACGAGGAGAGGCGCAGAGCGTTCGAGGCCAATCAGGGCGAGGGCATCGACGAAGCCGTGCTCGCCTCCATCACGGGCGAGGACGGTCAGCCCGGCGGCTCGACGGACGACAAGGCGGTGCTCGTCCACTTCCGCGGACTCAAGCTCAAGATCGGCCCCGAACGCTTCCGCTTCCTCGAGCCCCTCTTCCGACCCGAGCTGCTCAAGGATGTGGCGGGCGCGGCTGATCTGCACGTGGGCGACGAGCCGTTCGGCGCAGGACCTGTGGTGGCCGAGGCTAACGGCACTGCGGGCCATGCTACGTCGAGCTTCGACAGCTATCCGATGCCCACTGCGACGCCCGACTGGAGCCAAGCTGTGCCTCTGCCGCTGGCGATTGCCAACGCCATCTCGCGCGTCGAGGATGCGGATCGTCGGCCACAGCTCTGGGAGAACCTGATCTTCACAGGCCATCCTGCCAAGATCAAGACGATCCAGATCGAGGCCATCTCTTCGCTCTCCGAGTTTGTCGCCACCGAACAGACCGAAGCGGCGCAGGTTCTCGCCGAACCCAACCCGCTGCAGGCGCGCAACGTTCGTGCGCTGCGCGTGCCCGACTACTTCTCCGAGTTCAAGGACCGCACCGACCTGGCGCCCTTCCTCGGCGGTACGATCTATGCCAAGCTTGTCTTTGGCGATCCGCAGGCCAAGGCCTTTATCACCAAGCAGAACTACAACGAGGCCGGCCCCAACCAAGCGTTCTCGGTCAAGCTCACCACGTGAATTCGGATGCCGCCGTGCCTGATGGCGTCCTTGTATTTTTAGAGCTCTTGCAACTGTCATCCTGTCTTGATCGTCCGCCCGGTCGCGTGTGCTTGATGCTCTGCGAAGGCTTATGGGCGCGGGTGTCGCAATCTAACAAATCAAAACCGCGCGCCCACAGCCATACGCGACACGACACGAGTCCTCAGAGCGTTGGCAGGGTCCAGCAGAGTGATTTTGTGGAGGGATGCGGCCCTGGTGGCAGACCAACACCTCCAGCGAAGAAGCGTCACATCGAAATTTTTCGGCTACGTACGACGAGGCTCTCTGCCATCACCTTCGTCTCGGCTGATCCGATCGGACTACGTGGCAGAACATCGGCTCGGCTGCCTGCCGAAAGCTCTGCCCTGCCTGCCATGGCGCTCAACGCTGCGGACGCTCTCTTCATGGACGAGCTCTTCGCCGACCTCGACGCTTCCCACTTCTCCATCCCTCCCTCGCAGAGCCCACCAAAGCCCAAGCCAATCCGCCTGCAAGGCTCACAGACATCCAAAGTGCAGAATTTGGGTCCTTCCCGTCCTAGAGCAGTCCTCGCCGAAACGACTCGCTTCCAGTCTCAGCCGGCTCTCGACCTCGATCTAGAGGACTGGTTCCAGCAGCCAGCGCCGCCCACGCCAAAGCTCGCGTCACGTCATTCGCCATCGGCCGTGAAGCGTCAGAAGCTAGATCGCGGTATCGAAGCTACCACCAGTACCGGTGCGTCGGCTTCCAAGAGACCTCGACAACCTCGCGAGCAATGCACCTACGTCCGATGCCGTGTCGTGGCAACTGTCCACGGCTCGTACAACGTCGCCAGTGACACGCACAGCGGCCCTGCACGCACACGGCCCGAGCACCTTCTCGTTCTCGAAAAAGACCAACTTGACTCAAGGAGCAAGCGAGCAGACGGAGTACGACCTCAGAACGCTCAGCAGGCCGATGTGTATCTTGCTTCTTTGCGCGACGACTGGATGCAGACTATCGTCGGCACCAGCGACATCGTCCATCTCGTCGGCCGCTTCGAGAGCGACTTGAGAAAGGTGCCGATCCTCCTCGAGCAGCAGAGCAGTACAAGCGCATCAAACAAGAGCAGGTCGGCACCGCACCCTGCGATAGAGATAGCACTCGAAGAACCAGCGGCTGACTCGACTCCTCCACCTGACGTCCGCGCAGAATCGGTGGAGAGCGATGACGAGCTGTGGGATGATCTCGCCTCGATGCCGTCCTTGTCGCAGTGCGCCACCCAGGAGATGCTCGCGTCCGATGACGCTTCACGGGCTCAGATCATGCTCTTTGCTTCAAGGTCAACAGACGCCGACAGCGCAGATAACGCTCTAGACAACCTCCTCGTAGTTCATCCTGACGTCTTGGTGCCGGCCACCAAAGTCGCAGATGTCGCCTCGTGCATTCGCAAGCCCGTCGTTCAGGACCGACTCCGCGGCGCTTCCGATACCACGGTCAGCCTTGTGATGGGCAACATGCTCCACGAGCTCCTCCAGGCCTGTCTCACCGCGCCACCTCCCCCAACCAGCCAAACCTTCCCACCACCCAAAATTGAGGACGGCGACTCGATGCCTACCGCAGAAGTCAAGGCCGTGTCTCCCTGGCCGGAGCGATGGCAGGGTATTGGCGACTTCAGTAGAGCCTTCGTGGACCACCAGATCGAAGAACAAGTGCGCTCCAACGTTGAGAGCCTGTATGCCATCGAGCTCAGTGCCGAAGAGGCCACTGCTCAACTCCGCGAGAAAGCAGCTGCCTTCGCTCGCTTTGCGCATGTCTTTCTACAACACGATGACGAAGCTTCTTTCCACCCCGAGGCCAATCTTCGCGAACAAAGCCGTGGCCCTGGGTCGATGCCGGCAAAGGTGCGCATTCGCCGCATCCTCGATGTGGAAGAGGAGATCTGGAGCCCGGCCTTTGGGCTCAAGGGTAAGGTCGACGTCTCGGTCGAGTGCGACATCGCCGACGGCTCCGACGCGAAGCCGCCGCGTAAGGTTGGCTCGAATAGCAACGGTGCCTTTGCGCGAGGCGTGCAGAAGCAAGTTTCGGAAGCGCCGCCAGCCTCCAAGGTGACTACATCCGTGGTCCCCCTTGAGCTCAAGACGGGCCGAGCCGAGGTGGTTTCAACCGAGCATCGCGCACAGACGATGCTGTATACGCTCATGATGTCAGACCGCTACGCTACGCGAGTGAGCGACGGACTGCTGTACTACTCCAAGTCCGGCGAGATGCACCGCATCAGTCGCAGCCGCAACGAGGTTCGCAGCCTCATCATCGGACGCAACGAGCTGGCTCACTACCTGCGTCACAACCCGAGTCGGCTCGCCAAGCCCGACCCCGAGGCGACGCAGACCGATCGCGTTCGGGTCCTGCCACCCACGATCGACAGCGAGTACAAGTGTCGCAGGTGCTACGCCGTCGACGGGTGCATGCTGTTCCGCCGCGCCATCGAGAACATCGTCGAGCCGAAGGAGGAGTCGAATACGTCAAACGAAGACGTCTCGAAACTCAGCGCCGCGGAGGCACAGGGCACGGACCTGGTCTTGGCGAGGAGGACGCCGATTGCGGATGTGTACGAGCAGAAGACTTCGCATCTGACGCCCGTGCATCTCGACTTTTTCCGCAAGTGGGACCGGCTCCTCAATCTCGAGGAGGAGGACGCCGTGCGAATACGCAGAGAGATGTGGACCATAACGGCCGAGCAGCGCGAAAAGGCTGGGCGATGCTTTGCCAACATGCGCCTGGACCTCGACGCCTTGCAGCCCGATGAAGCCTCGACAGCGCCGGCGTCGTCGTCGTCGATGCGCCGCGTCGTTCATCGCTTTGTGCGCCATTGCCCCGTGGGGCAGGCTGCCGAGGCGAGCGTGCTAGCCGGCCACATATCGGTCAACGATCCCGTGACGATCTCGATCGAGCCAGACATGCTCTCGGTCGCGCAGGGATTCGTGACCCGTCTCACGCCCACATCGGTCGACATCGGCCTAGATCATTCACTGGACGCGGTCATGCAGCGGGCTCTCGAACGAGACGCCGCCGGCAGTGTGGACGGGCCGGTGGGACTCGAGGTTGCTGCGGACCGTATGGTATTCCGCATCGACAAGGACGAGTTCGGAAGCGGCATGGGTCGAGTTCGAGCCAACCTGGCTGCGCTCTTCCTGACGCCGCAGAGGGGCGGTGATGTGAAGCGGCGCGAGCTCGTGGTCGACATGCGTGCACCGCGTTTTGTCGAGCATGGGCAGGACCAACGTGTGCGCGCGACCGTGGCAGAGGCGCGGGCGGACGCGAGCTTGAACGAGGACCAGCGTGTGGCGATCGACAAGGTGCTGTCAGCCCAGGACTATGCGCTTGTGCTCGGCATGCCCGGCACAGGCAAGACCACGACGATCGCCAAGCTGATCCAGCTGCTCGTGCGGCTTGGCAAGCGCATCTTGCTGACGAGCTACACGCATTCTGCCGTCGACACGATCCTGCGCAAACTCGCCGAG